GCGGCAAACCCAGACGCGACGTCGGGCCACGCCTCGCCCTCCACGCCGGACATCCCCTCATCTGGGGTGAGACACTCCGGCTACGGCGACGGCGCAGGGGTGCCGGCCCTCTTCTTCGTTCCTCTCCTGGCGGGCCTTCCCCGCCCCCAATCGGCCGATTTCGGTCCACCGCCCTCCTCGGGGAGCATCTTCGAGCTCCCTGCTGCGTTTTGAACCGGTCCCGCAGCTTTGACCTTTGGGCAATTGTCGGCGCCCTCGCATACGTGCGCCAGCCCAAGGTTGCCCTTGGGAAGGGATTTCCCAGCTGAGCCGGGACCCTCTCGGGGAGAATTTTTCGTTTCAACACTTGCTATTTTTGGGTTTTGCTCTTTTACGCCAGAGCTCGGCCTCCTTTCATTCCCGTCGCGCGGCGAGTCAGAGGGGCTAGAACCACCACCTCCTCTCAGCCGCAGCACACCACATAACGCCTCGGTATCAGATTTCCCACTGCGAGCCCCTGATATCTCGCAGCGCCGGTGGCCAGCCGGAGCGCATAGGCCCCTCGTAACAGATTTGTCATCCTGGGGGCGAGCTACCCCAAGATGATCAGGATCATCAGCGGGATCGCATGGCAAAACACAAATCTCTTTATCGAACATTATCATTACGATTTCCCCCTTCCGGGCGGGGGGACCCTACCTGGCCTAAACATCAGGGATTTTTGAAGAGGTTGTCTCCTCTTGTTGTTCCCGTTCCCGACTGTTCCCGGAGATTTTTATCTAATGTGGTGTTGAATTCGCAATATTCACGTAGTCCGCGATCGATTCATCACCAAGTTGCCGGTTGACTAAATTTGTACCTTTGGGCCAGCACTAACGGTTTTGGTTGCAGATGCGCCGACAATTACTCCACTGCTCGATTAAACGTCAGTTCGGATGGCTTTCGAGGACTGGCCAAAGTTGCTAACAAGTCGTAAGCTTCTACTCCCATGACCGAAATTAATGTTGGTAGTTTAAAATTGTCTTCCATCTTGTTGACCAAGAAGTACATTTCGATTCTCTGTACGTAACTTGACCAGTTACCGGATTTAATGTCGAATTCCCGCATTTATCCCACCGACATTGTCACAAGATGTTATTACACCGCCAACTATTAATTGTCCAAAACAGAGATTTTCCGCGTTCGCCACTCTTAAATGAAAGACGTCTATTACCGCACGGACTTTTTGCCTTTTGTCCAACATTTTTTTTAATTAGATGGTATATGAGTAAAACTACTTATTAAGTTATTTTCAAATAAGACAAATAATCTTTATTAAGTTCTCATTAATTTAAAAATATAAATTATCTTTAAAAATCTTCAACGATGCGAGTGTCTGCAACCACGCGTATAATATCACTGTAACTAAATGGGTGATCTTTGCAATTTGTGACTAAAATGTCCGGACTTTTATCGAAATGTCCAGCATTTTGTCAGGACTTTTCCAATTTTTAAATGGTAACCTTAGTCGCAGCGCATGTAACCTATACAAACATAACAGTAAGTTCATTTCAAAATAATTAAAAAAACAAAAAATGCGTATAATATGGTTGGATTTAATTTATCTGTTAACAGAAATCACTAAAATAAAATATTACTTAAAATTTTAGGGTGTAAGTGACGACGTTGGTTCAAAATACAACTACGTCGCTTCAGCGATTTGAACTACAAAAAAGATTTAATTTATTAAGCCATACGCATACCTGGCGAGGCTGCCTCGAATCCGTTCACACCTTTAGAATTCTGTATGACATGCACGACACATATTAATCATGTTTATATGTTTTAAACATAAGTTCTTGTTTATATTTATATAAAAATACTTTTAAGTAATTTAGTGCCATATTGTAACCAATCTACCGAGGTAGACTTAGTTTAAAGTCATATTTCCGAACTTCAACCACAATTTGGAAGGCATTCAGAAATTTAATGATTGAAGTTCGCAAATATTTATGTTAAGTAAAATAGTGGATCACACAAATATGGATGACGACGGGGTACAGTAAACGAAATTCTATTTAGTCAGACAATGGTGTCGATTCTGTCAGGTTTTCTAAACTTAAAACTAAATTTGACATCAGTCTGTCCTTTTCAGTCTGTATAGAATATAACAGAGATACACCGTTGTCGAATTTAAGTTTAGCTTTAGAGAATCATGCCAGAATCAACACCATTATCCAAAAAAAAAAATGTATAGGTATGTGATATTGAGTAGTACACTAAACAAGCAGAATATACGGAAGGGAATCTGGCCGCTACAGTGTGCTCGGACCACACATCTGAAGTGAAACTTCTTTTCTTAAATAAACTAACATTAGGCGGTGCATAAGGCATAGGGGAATGGAGCAGCGCACACATCACTTATATATATATATATGTATTTAAATATGTTTTCGCGTGTGACGCTCGTAGCATTACATCCTTCGCCGAGTTACCTCCAATTTTCATGCTCGTCGGGAAGAGCTGCTCATGCATCCAACACACACACACACATATATATATATAGTCGTGTGACGCTCGTGACGCATTTCCGGGTCATGTTTTAAGATTTTTCCATTTACACCCCGTCCTAAAAGAAGTTTCGCTTCAAAAACAATGGACATATCTTTTGCGTCAAAGTTGGTAGTAGGGGCTTGAGACATTATAATTTGTACCAAGCCGTGACGTCATGCGACATTTTAATACAATGTCTGTGATGTTTCTAATTCTCTGAAAAATATAAAAAATTGTGGCCCAATATTTTATTGATGATCTACGTTAGTGGTCTAAGTTATCGCTATTGTTAAGAAACAAATAGAAAATTGCTAAAATTAAACATCAGTGTGTTATGAACTATGTTTATTTTAAAGAGTATTGTTATAGTTTTCCAAGGTGTATTTTGTACATTAAACATTTCAAATTTGTATACAAATGTTGATATTGACAATTAAAAATGATTACATAAATATGTTGTATTATTTCTAACTTAAACAACTTTGCAGGGGGTCTACTCTCTTTCTCCGAAACGAAATTTCGATAACGAAGTTCAAACGTAATTTAATTTCGTCACTTTAAGGTTATACTTAATTTGAACGATAAACTTTAGGTTTAGATAATTTTCATCTCAAGCCCGTCACTGACGTAGCTATAATATAATTATATTAATATGAATCATAGCAAGACATATTACAACATATTTTCAATATTTTTCGAGTGACCGCACACGCAGCTATAATATATATTTCAATGGCGTCACCAAAATATGTCGACAGATATATCTCGGTATACTTTGGCATATTAATATATATATTGTTTTGATACGGAATGTTCCATTTCTTAGCGAACGCCTGCCAAAATATATAAGAATATATATTATGGTATAGCTCCCGTCTGTGGTAGTTTGGTGTAATATAATATATATCTCGATATATTAATATATATTATAGCTACGTCTGTGACGGGCTTCAATCTATATTCCGACCAAGAATTTTATTATAATTAAAAACGAACCAGAAACCTACTAAGAAAAGTGCGAAGTTCCGATCGAAATTTCATTTTTCGTTGAATTAGAGTAGGCCTCCAGCCTCTCATGGCAGCAGAAAAGTTCAAGTTGAAGGATTTCAGTGCCACCTTAGAAATTGGTTGAGGGAATATGGTTACTAAAAAATTGCATTTTTTTATGCATAGCTTCGTATGTTTATGATTGTTAATTGACTGTAATTGTCTTTTTTGTTACTTTCGCATATTTACGGAATTTTTACTATGATAATAATATTAACACAAACAAATTTATATAGATACAATTTACCATTTCAATCTGCTTTTGCCTACTGGATCAGATACACGACGACACTGACACTCGACACAAATGTCGTGACACTAGTATGGATTGCGTCCACGTAGTAAGCAATTTTTGTGTAAGTAAACATCTAATGTCCCGGTTCAAGTGTATTGGCTGTCTTTCGCACGTCCTGTTCCCTCCACGGTTGCGACATGAGACACCGAGCGACATCGCCACTACATCTCCTCGACCTCCGTGGCCGAGTGGTTTGTACGCCGGGTTTCATGGTGTCGCCGACTTGAGAGGTCCCGGTTCGAATCCCGGTGGGGGCAGATGTTTGTGTGATGAATACATGCATTTGTACTCCAGTCATGGATGTTTAATCCTATGTATTTCTATATAAATATACTTATATATGTACAGTATATATATTCTATCCGTTACCCTAGTATCCCATAACACAAGCCTTATAATGCTTACTTTGGGGCTAGGCTAATTGGAGTGTGTTCGTGTTGGCAATATTTATTTATTTTATTTTATTTATCTGCAACCAAGTGTCTCGGCAGTGGACACACGGTGACAGTCGATGTATACACTGAGTGTCTAGTGTTTGGTGTCGTCGTGTATCTGATCCATAAGAAGTATAATTAAATATATAATCAAATTAACACACATCACAAATAATAGTAGTAGATAAAAAAACTCCTTTTTTGGGCACTCTAGTAAGAAAAGCCTATTTTCAATGAAGTGATACAATGGATCATAGAAGTGAGATATTTCACCCAAGTAATGGTATAATAATAATTATGCTTGTTTGCAGCATGCACGCTTTGATGACTTTTCATAACTACTTGATAGCTTTTTAACAGCAGCACAATTTATATTTTCAATAAATTTTATTAGGCACATTCTTAAATGTTATTATTTTAGTACAATCGATCCAGTTTGCAATATGATTAAGATGGAACAACCTGCATCACAAGACATGACTCACTGACTTTTATAAACTACGAGCTGACTCTGCGAACTTGGTACCGCCCAAAACCAATAATTTGCAATAAAATAATATTGCGACTATAAATTGAGCTATCCTATCTTTCAAGTTGGATCAAACTGCACACGATGTGCACATTTGATTAAAATCGGTTAAGTAGTTTAGGAGTCTATCCCGGACAAACCACATGACGCGTAATTTATATATATTATGATATGACTATGATGTTTTAGGCGCTTTGCAGACAACGGGGCGGGGCGGGCTTTTTGTCCGCGAAGCAATAAAAACCGCGTCTGCCCGTCAATGTCAGCGGCTGCCCTCGCCGCGTACATAAAGCACACGACGGGCAGAGGCAGTCAGTTCAGGACGTTCGTTCTAGTGAATAGTCCATCACTAAAAAGCGCGTGGCGCGGACTGAGCCGCCGCCTGCGTTACTGCATATAAACTGGTTTGTATGATCCACGGCGGGCAGCCGCGGACATGCCGCGCCGCCACTGCCCGCCGGGCACCTGCGGCGCGGTCTTTTTGCCCTCTGTGTGCGTTTGTATTATAGGATTCACTTTGTGCTATCGTTCGCGGCGAAATTGACCGGCCCGCTCCGCCCCGCCGTCTGCAAAGCGCCTTATAGTCAAAGACACGTTATACACGCTTCTAATTTTGCAATGCGAAAGTCGGGTAATTGCCCGATTTGCATTCAGTCGGACACGCTCTCTCGCCAAGGCTACACTTCGCTACAAAATGTAAATATTTTATGTTTTTCCAGGCAAAAAGCCCTATGTGTGTTAGACACAAGTCATAATTTCAGAGTCTGTAATCTATAATGGGCCTTCTTTAAATTTGAAATTTATTTGCCCTATGCATATTAATTCCAAATTCTTCTTTTTTTTCCTATAACACACACTTGTCTATCTTTATTATATCTATACATAATACTTAATTTAGCTGTAGGTAATACACCAATTTAGAAGCCAACATCCAATTACAAATGTTGACGAAGACATTAATATCCACATAAACGTTTTATAACAAAAACAACTAAATTAAGTACACTTTGAATGAGTACACTACATCATACTATATAGAAAAAACTTTCATAATGTCCATTATCATCACTAGTTTTTACCTATTTACTAATTATATACTTTTGTACAAAAAATATGGTTTAGACAAACAACATTTATCAGTGACTTCACAAATTCCAACTGTAGATTTATTGACCATGATATTTATACATGTTACTGTTCTCTCAAGATAACTTCACACACACATGATCATGATTCTATTTTCTGTTTGTCTGTACAATTGTATTGTTTCCGATTGCATATGATCATCATACAATTTTATTCATGGTATAAAATATTCATTGATCATGGTTTTTGTTCTGTTCATTCCAAATTCTTACCAGCTCTTGGTGATCTGAGTATCCATGGGATGCTATAACGTCTCTATAACCTTCCTTATCATACTCTTTCTTGTAAAAATAAAACTTTTCACAATGTTCAGGTATAATACCAACCTTTTTGGCAACAATACCCAAATATATGTCATCAAATCGGAAATGTTTCACAAATAGACTAGCCACATATAATGCTTTCATGGATCTATTGGATACAAGGTAAGCTCCTGCTGTTATGTATGGTGGCCACTTGTCCCATGGGTATTCGTCCAGTGATACCCGCCACTTGCTTGTTATGAGCCTAAGGGGTGAAGACTTGAACACATAGCCAGTATATACATGCTTCTCCTTCTCATTCAACTCTTGTTTAGGCGGAACTATTGTGTCTTGAATATGATCAAGCAGATTATTGACAGATATATACATGTCATCATCAGTGAATAAGTAATAGTCTGCAGTAGAGCAGTGCTCATAAAGCCAACGGAATGACATCATTGTTTTTATTGTGTTGTTATAGTAAGTGTCATGGAAATCCATCTGTATTATATCCTTAAATTTTATTATTTCTTCGTTGATCTGTTTTTGAAGTTCTGTTTTGGGATGACCATTGTCAATACCCAGAAAAAAGAGAACTTTGATGATTCTACCTGGAATCAAATCTTCTTGACCGTATGTATGTCTGATAGCTGTTCTGTGATCAAAATTCTGCATTGCAGACTTTACAACAATAAATAAATCTAATTTTTCTATAGTGTTGCACTTCCCAGAATTTGTTAAAAACCTATAAGGGTAATAGTTGATAGGTGATACACTTGTTTTCATACCAGACAACACTTCATTTACCAGTGGAATAATATCTATATTTAAGGGATAATTAAAATTATCGTCATAACTCGTAGAGTTAATGTAGTCACTTAATCCTGACATGTAAAATAGGCAAAGCACTACACATATTGCCAAAAATAGTTTATATTTCTTTCTTTTATGTAGCATATTGGTACATCAAGACTTCTCACAGTTAAAATCACGTTTTCCTGTAAAAAATAATAAATAGGTCATCATTTATGCACTGCATAAAGGTTTCTGGTATGATAAAAAGATTATTAATTTGCGATTCAAACTTAATGTTGGCAGTGAAGTTAGCACAAGTGGCACATCAGTAAACAAAATTTATATTCCTGCAGTGTTCTGCTCATTGTTATCTTTACAACTTTCAAAAAGTACGAATTTCACATAATATTATGTTAATTTGGTTACGAAATATAATTAATTCTATACAAATTAAATAGTGTGGCTCAAATGTTGAAAAAGCCAAGTAGCTGACTATTTTACAGAATGTCTACAGTTTCTGTAATTGGCCATAATTTATAGGATTGAATGCACAAAAATCAAATTAAAACATATATAGAGATCTGCCTATTTATTGGTTAGTTCCGTTACACTTTCTTGCTAATGTTTAAAGGTTTTTCAGTTAAATAAGCTACAGACTTCGGGTACAAATGCTACAGATTCCTTAGAGGTTTTGAAATTGTTTTAAAATCTAGACCTGGTTAGGTTGCATATTTATGTAAGTAAAAATTGAGTTACCTCCTAGAGGGATGTGTCTACAGTGGAACTAATGGACACAGGTGGCAAGTAATGGCTGCGGATCTGGGCATGTAAACGAGCCACTTCTCCATCCATGCTCTCCATTTCACGAACCATTTGTGTGAACTGCACAATGCCTAGAAACATACATTATTTTAGTTTAGAGTTTAAATCTAAAGAAAATATAACTAGAAAAAATTCCACGCGGACCAGGCAGCAGACGGGACTCGAACCCGCACCCTTCGCAATCCGGGAGAATGCACTGACCAATTATGCTACCGCGGCCCTCATGGACCGCGTCGAAATTCTTTCTAGCTATTCTTAAGCTGCAAGGCATACAATACATTATGAGTTTTCAATAAAACTTAAAAATCAAGGTTGATCTATTTCCTAATGATATCTTTTTATCTCTACTACAAATATTTAGTGCCAACTGTTACACATTTTTGGGGAATAGATGTACTTGTAAAATAATCACCAAAGCAAAGAGGTAGTACTATCTTTGTTTAAATATTTAAGATTTTGATAACAATTTAATATAAAACTAAAACATAACCGTACCTTCTCTAGAATTACAGAAACCATGACGTTTAATTATTTCCATTTCGATTTGCACAACCATGGGGAACACTATCTGCATCATTTTCAGCATTTCATTTCCAGCGGCTTCTTTGGCTTCGTCCAGTTTACATGAATAATCTGGCGACTCTAGCGCATCTATAACTTGAGTTAATATCTGGCGCACTTGATCAACTGATACGTTTTGAGGAGATGCCATTACTTTCTAATTATAGTATTTTATCCTTTCTAGTCAACTGTAGATTCTGAAATAAGAACTAACTCAACTTTGTATAGTTTCTAACTTCTCAAGTCACATTGTTTTCTAATGAATGGGATTAGTAAATTAAAATCAAAAACGAGAGCAAAGACCGACACATCCGAAAAATCACTTTTTTTAACGTTTTGCCTTTTTAGGGAAGGCAAAAGGAACAATACCCATACAGCCTAGTCTTCAGTTTTCTTTGTTCTTTTCTTTTATTAGAATGTGGATGTGAGCATTCTAATATTTCTTGGAGTGTTTGGCACGAAATGTATAGTGCGATTCAATTAAGAATAGGAAAGCCAATGACCTCCATCTGTCAAATGTCGCTTGAAAAGTACAGATTGCAAAAAATCTTGGAACCTTTTTTAAGCACTCGGCTAGTTCTACAATAAAAACCAAACATTTTTAAACAAACAATAACAAATATCGATGATTAATATTGGTTGATATTTTTTTTTATTTATTGAGCTTTGGCTATGACTGGTTGTTAACCTAAATCGTCAGCCAAGTGTTACTTTAAGTTGCGTTCATAAACTCGATTTAAAACTTTCGCTTACATAAAGGATGCATGTTCATAATTATGTGACCTAGTAATAATGCATGATTATTCATAACTACTCTGGCGGTAATACAGATATGAGCGGAATTGAAGAGCTAGATTCTGATTAATGTTTTTTCTGTCTAAATAAAAATTATTAAAAATCGGTTGTTTTTTTCTCAATCTTAGTAAATAATTTTTAAATAAATAAAAGTAAATTTTAAAAAAATAAATGTTTGGCCTCACTTAATCTTAGAAAATAAGTTTTATTAAATAAAAACTTTTTTTTTGCTCACTACCTCATTGGTTTGCATTGACAGCTATGACGTCACAATATGGCGCTCAGTCGGTCCTATTCGCATTATATCAATTCAGCTTTCTCGTTATGTTTCTGTGAGGTTATCAACACTAAATACATATGTCTTGTTCCTAAATTATATGAACCATTTTATTAAAATTATATTAACGCTGTGACCTGTTCATAAAATGTTTATGATTGATCTCTTTGGTTATTGGAACTTTTACTAAAATATACAGATTCTAAATTCAAATCACATTTATTCCCTAGGGATTAAAACGCTATTTAGATCCCTAGGGATTTAAACCCTATTTTTAATCCGTAGGTATTTAAAGGCTCTAGATCATTTGGGACTAAAACGCTATTTTGTCTGAGAATTAGAGCGTTATATTGATCTCTAGGGATTTAAATGCTGTTTTGGTCCCTAGTGTGGTCCTTGAGGCTTTTGTGGGGGACCCAAAGTTAGTATAGTCTACCCTAAATGAATAGAGATAATTATGTGTTCTCTCCATGTACTCACGAGAGGTTAAAGAGAAGGAGAACGATCACTGTAGAAAATAGTGTCCCAGAAATATGGACAAAATAGCACTACGATCGCTAAGTTGTTTCAATAAAAGCGGGCTTTTGTGTGCTAATTTGAAATTTGTAGGTATATTATTCAACTGACTTCATCTACTTGTACTCATAAACAGCTAATTTCATAGATACTACTTATCGACGGCAGCGCGGCTGGTGGCTGAAAAATAACTATAAATTTTACAAATTTTCAGGGACAGGCAGGCTAATGCTTTGTACTTAGCGATCTTTCTCCTTCTCTCTAACCTACGTGGTTTTATCTATCTTTGACTAGTATATAGTTATCTCTGTTGACAACGATCTTTGCTTTTTACCTTTGAACTTTTTACTCTTTAACTCTTTAGAGACTAAAGAGTCCATATTTTTAAAATAATGAAACTAAAGACCAGGCTGTACAGGTATTGTTTCTTTTGCCTTTTCTTGAAATGGAACACATTAAAATAAAACGGGTTTATATTATGTGCATTGAATTGACATTGGTGGCGATTCTGACATGATTCTCTAAACCTATACTTAAATTTGACAACAGTATATCCTTGTCGTGCTCTATACAGCATGAAAAGGAGAGACCGATGTCAAATTTTGTTTTATATTTAGAGAATCATGTCAGAATTGACACCACTGACATGTTTGTAAGTTGACATCTCAATGACATAAAAGGCTGACTGACAGAAAACTTCTGTTTTTGTCATCCTCAATATTATCATTTTATTTTTTGGTTTGTAAAGTAAGTAGTTTATTAAATTAATGTATATTATTAGAATATTCATACTTATTTTTCCATTGACAAGTCAATTGGTTTTATAGTACTGTTATTATTTGGTTTTTGTTTGTTATTACAATGCAAAAGTTAAGCCTATAAAAGAAACAATATTAGTTTTGTTCTGATTTGAGAAATTATTAATATTCTAAATATATATTATTGTATGTACCTACCAACATACAGTACAATATAAAAATATAAACAAGCTAGCTGCCTATCCTCGCTTCGGTGTAGAGCTGAAGTGTAGACTACAGTTTTTGTTCTCAGGCTTGTATTATGCACTGACATTAATCTATGATTTTTCTTATACCTGCATGCAAAGTCGCGGCCTGATCAGTTTAAAATTGACAAATTTTCATACAAACTTTCATTCCCTATTTTATCCCCTTGGGGGTAGAATTGATCAATATCTTTTCTTAGCGGATGCCTACGTCATAACATCTACCTGCATGCTAAATTTCAGCCTGATCCGTCCAGTGGTTTGGGCTGTGCATTGATAGATCACTATGTCAGTCAGTCACCTTTGAGTTTTATATATATAGATAAGTTTATCCAGGGCTCAGACCAAATAAAAAGTAAAGACGGAGTCTGCCGAACCAAAAAGTGAAGCCGGTTTTTTATGTATGTAGTGCATTAGCCAGTGTTACCATAGTCATATAAAATACCCCAATATTAGAAAAATGTAATAACGTTATTCCATAACGTTATAAAATATTAGAAAAAGATATCGTAAGCTTATTCTCTAAACCTCTCGTGAGCATGGGTCATGCGCCGTTCTCACCTACAAGTGCCGGACTTCTTTATGGACCGCCCGCCCGCTGGGTGGGAACGATTGCATTGTTCTGCCGATTTCTCTGTTATTTTGTAAAAATATCCTTCACAAACGTATATTTGGATTCTCCATAAAATTTTCAATAAAACAGTGTGTACACAATGCGTCATGTCTATAATTTATTTTAATTACATTATGGTAAACTCAGGAAAGATAAAAAAAGTCGTTTAAATAGGGTAAATGAGGTATATTTTCAAAATTTGTAAATTTTAAATCCAGGTTTTTGTACATATAGAATGTACTATATATAAATGAATGTATATAATAACTTACCAAATACAATTTTAAAATATAACACGCAACAGAAAAAAAGGGTCGTGTTTCAAGTGTTGATAAAAACAAATGCGTGATCCAAGTGCCTTGATTTATGTGTTGACGTTCAATTATGTTGAATTGTTTATTTTACTTTAATTACAAGTCTCGGATGGAATAGGTTTGTTCATTTTATAGTTTCAAGCACTCGCAACAAGGCACTTGAAATCGCTACCAAATCAGTCATCTCAACTTTATGTCGATAAAACGAAAAGCATATACAAATGTTGATAAACAGTTTCTTTTATTAAAATGTACATGAAATTTTCTATAGAATATACAAAATATAATCACTAGTTCCTATACAAGAACATAATAAAATAAATCCACAAACATCGCGAATTTTGGGTCAAAAAGGCCATTAAAAAGTAGATGCATCTTAAAACGGTGTGCACATTAGATGGGGCATTTTTCTAGTGTGCACAGTTGCGGTCAAGGTTGAGTTTAAAATTAGCTAAGTACCAAATTAACATTATTTTTACTATTGTACTAATACTTTTAATGAACAATGATACTTAATTCAAGTAAGTTCGCTTTAATTTAGTAGCATAATACGGCAAAATGGGGAAACTGAAGCCAGTAGTTCTACCACAACATGATAGATGGTGGGACTTGTACAAACAATAAGCAGTTAGCAAATAAATTATTGGAATCTTTAAAATATAAATTAATCTAAGTAACCATAATAATAGTAAAAAAAAATACCTTTGGATATGCATTTTGTTTTACATGACGTCACCCTTTTGTTGTGTAGTACAAATCGTCGCTCTGAAAATGAGTCGAACAAACCACGCTGCGGGAAGCTGGTTGCCACAATGGTTCATTTCTACTCTTACGAATGAGTGCAATCCACTTCTCTTTTAGATCTTGATCTCGATTAGGAAATCTTAAAAAAAACGTATAATATATAATATGTATTACATCCCAAAAAAATTATACGAATACATAAAGAAAAAAGATGTTTCGTGTAATTGTTTATCCATGCATTACAATATTCGAATAATATAAAAGTATGCCACACAATGTATTTAATAAAATAACGTTACGTTATATTTCACGCTACCCAACAAAAGGGTAAAACTGTAACGAATAATCGTGGCAACATTTCGTTCAGGTTTTGTTTACAAAACGACAACCTCAAATTTGATTTTGATTAATTGAAAATAGCAGTTTATAACTTTACTTACGTATGAAATGTGATTCCATCCTGTTTTTTATTCTTGGAAGATTGGTTTTTACACGTTTTCATTACACAATTCGGCATTTTCTCTAATAAATATTGTTATTTATTATTACGTCACACTCCGCGCGTCGGGATAGCTCGACTGAGAAGCCAAGGCGTAGTTTCGTTGCATGTGTGTGCGTATAACTGTGTATGTACACGGCGAGGCGTAGTTTTATCGGCTTCACTTTTTGGTTCGGCAGACTCCGTCTATACTTTTTATTTGGTCTGAGATCCAGGGCTACAAAATAATGAGCTCTTATTAGTAATGATGTAATTAAATTAAGCAAGTGTATCTGTTACATTTTCGGTTTTAGCGATATTCCCAATAAAACCCACAAGGAACCAATCTAGGACTACAAAGAAATAGGGAGCATTCTAACTTACAGGATTACTGGCCATGTAGGTTTACTCCATGAGGATTAGTGATATGTGTATGACAAATACTAATAATAATAAAAAGGGGTTCACATTACTTCTAGTAACCCTTGCGCCTTGTATTTATCATTCTTTTACATAATTTTTTGTTTAGAGGTTCTAAAATGGAGAATGAGCTGGAGGAATTGGAACGCCCGTCGAGTGTGCGGCGCACTTTCACACTGCGCAACAGTGCCGCGCGGCAGGTGGCAGTAAACTTCATGCCATCACGGCAACTCTCATTTAGTGAGCTATATCTCATACTCTAACTAAATAAGTTCACAATTATAGTTCCGCACGGCAGGTGGCAGTCAACTTCATGCCGTCGAGGGAACACTCATACAGTGAGCTATATATCATACACTATATTAACTTTATGGTGCGCAACAGTGCCGCACGGCAGGTGGCAGTAAACTTCATGCCATTTTGACGACTCTCATGCACTGAGCTATATCTCATATTCTCATACACTCTCTACATTATGTTTATAGTGCTCAACAGTGCCACGCAGCAGGTGGCAGTGAACTCATACCATCGCGACAACTCTCATACAGTGAGCTATGTCTTATACATACCCTCATACACTCTCCATATATGTTTATCCTGCGCAACAGTGCCGCGCAGTAAGTGGCAGTCATCTTTATGCCGTGGCGGCAACTCTTGTAGAGTGAGTTATACCTCATACACTGACTACAGCTGTCGCGATAACTCTCATACAGTGAGCTATATCTCATTTATTTATTTATTTTTTGGAAGACCAACAGCTATTATTAAAAATAATAAAAACTTAAATAATAACAAAAAGCCAATTACAGGTCTTCACCATTAAAAACACATTACAACATAATTAAGCACACTTTTAACATAATAATTACAAAAATGAACATTTTACAATTGCCTATTCGTCAAAATATGCACTGCTCAATACCCGCTATATCTCTCATACCCTCATACACTCTGTACATTATGTTTATGATGCGCAACAGTGCCGCGCGGCAGGTGGCCGTAAAGTTTATGCCGTCGCGACAACTCTCAAACAGTGAGCTATGTCTCATACCCTCATACACTCCCTACATTATGTTTATGGTGCGTAACAATGCCGCGCAGCAGGTGGCATTCATCTTTATGCCGTCGCGGCAACTCTTGTACAGGGAGCTATATCTCATACACTGACTCAATTATTTATATGGTGCGTAACAGTGCCGCGCAGCATACAGTTGGCTATATCTCATACTCTCATACACTCACTACATACGTTTACGATGTGTGATAGTGCCGCGTGGCAGATGGCAGTTACGTTCATGCCTTTGCGGCAACTCCCATAGGGTGAGCTATATCTCATACTCTAACTACATACGTTCACGATGTGTTATAGTGCCGCACGGCAGGTGTCAGTTACCTTCATGCCTTTGCGGCAACTCCCATAGGGTGAGCTATATCTCATACTCTAACTACATACGTTCACGATGTGTTATAGTGCCGCACCGCAGGTGGCAGTTACCTTCATGCCTTTGCGGCAACTCCCATAGGGTGAGCTATATCTCATACTCTAACTACATACGTTCACGATGTGTTATAGTGCCGCACGGCAGGTGGCAGTTACCTTCATGCCTTTGCGGCAACTCCCATAGAGTGAGCTATATCTCATACTCTAACTACATACGTTCACGATGTGTTATAGTGCCGCACGGCAGGTGGCAGTTACCTTCATGCCTTTGCGGCAACTCCCATAGGGTGAGCTATATCTCATACTCTAACTACATACGTTCACAATGTGTTATAGTGCCGCACCGCAGGTGGCAGTTACCTTCATGCCTTTGCGGCAACTCCCATAGAGTGAGCTATATCTCATACTCTAACTACATACGTTCACGATGTGTTATAGTGCCGCACGGCAGGTGGCAGTTACCTTCATGCCTTTGCGGCAACTCCCATAGGGTGAGCTATATCTCATACTCTAACTACATACGTTCACGATGTGTTATAGTGCCGCACGGCAGGTGGCAGTTACCTTCATGCCTTTGCGGCAACTCCCATAGAGTGAGCTATATCTCATACTCTAACTACATACGTTCACGATGTGTTATAGTGCCGCACGGCAGGTGGCAGTTACCTTCATGCCTTTGCGGCAACTCCCATAGGGTGAGCTATATCTCATACTCTAACTACATACGTTCACAATGTGTTATAGTGCCGCAGGGTAGGTGGCAGTCAACTTCATGCCGTCGTGGGAACACTCATCAGTGAGCTATATCTCATACACTCTACATTATCTTTATGGTGCGCAACAGTGCCGCACGGCAGGTGGCAGTCAACTTCATGCCGTTGCGGTAACTCTCCTACAGTGAGCTATATCTCATACTCTAACTACAAACGTTAATGATGTGTTATAGTGCCGTACGGCCGGTGGCAGTCAACTTCATGCCGTCGCGGGAACACTCATACAGTGAACTGTAACTCATACCCTCATACACTACATACGTTCACTAGGACTAAGGCGCTTTGCAGACGACGGGGCGAGGCGGGCCGGTCAATTTCGCCGCGAATAATAGCACAAAGTGAATCCTATACTTCAAACGCACACAGAGGGCAAAAAGACCGCGCCGCAGGTGCCCGGCGGGCAGTGGCGGCGCGGCATGTCCGCGGCTGCCCGCCGTGGATCATACAAACCAGTTTATATGCAGTAACGCAGACGGCGGCGCGGGGCGGTCAGCTAAGTCCGCGCCACGCGCTTATTAGTGATGGACTATTCACTAGAACGAACGTCCTAAACTGACCGCCTCTGCCCGTCGTGTGCTTTGTGTACGCGGCGCGGGCAGCCGCAGACATCGACGGGCAGACGCGGTCTTTATTGCTTCGCGGACAAAATGCCCGCCCCGCCCCGTCGTCTGCTCAACGCCTAATAGTGCCGCGCAGCAGGTGACATTCAACTTCATGCCTGCGCGACAACTCATACAGTATACAGCTATATGTTATACCCTATATCATATACACTGACTACATATTAAGTACACGTCACTGAATGTGCCGCGTGGCAGGTGGCAGGTCTCAATTAATCGTAGGTTTAAGTGCATAGAGCGATCGTGGAAGTCGAGCAACTTTAGCAATGGAAACAGTGTTTATCTCAAGGTTTTACGTAATTCGGAAGACACGCTTAGCCGTTGCTTTCGACTGCATTATACAATTGCTATCATTTTTACTAGGCAAGTATGGTGGATCATCTTAGTATGAGCACCACAATTTAAATAAATAAATATTTCCAACACTCACACCAATTAGCCTAGTCCCAAAGTAAGCGCTGTAAGGCTTGTGTTATGGGATACTAGGGTAACGGATAGAATACATATACAGTACATATATAAGTATATTTATATAGAAATACATATTAAACATCCATGACTGGAGTACAAATGCTCGTATTCATCACACAAACATCTGCCCCTACCGGGATTCGAACCTGGGATCCCTCGAGTCGGCGGCACCATGAAACCCGGCGTACAAACCACTCGACCACGTAGGGCGTCGCTTTTACACTTATCACACACATTATATACACTATATCCCGTTTACTATCACGCCTTACTTTCAAACTTGATAGTAATTTGACAATTAAGCGTGATATAAAACGCGTTTTATCATATCACGGTGCTCTTGCTAGGAAACACTGCACGTGTTTTATTAATAGTTTTTTTTAGTTCTATTCTTCTCTATTGAGAAAGGCAAAGGCAAAGCCATGCAGCCATAGTCTTATTTTTGTATTAAGCTTCCTTTTTTTTACATTAGAATGTGGGTGTGACGCATTCTAATGCTTATTGGAGTGTTTGGCACGAAATAAATCGAGTTGGCTTTTTCGATAAGCTTCTGTGAGGTAGTCAATAATACAATAAAATTCTCACGTCCACTTGACCGGAATAGCGTATATTTTAAAGATTCCACAAATTCTTCAGTTGCGCAGACGGTTGTAACACAAAATCACACCAATTTTATTTCACAATATCCAATATGAACAAATTTAAGAATAATTAAAATAAGACGCCAACCGCTCTCGATGAAATCCCGCCAAAAAACTCTTCATTAATAGACTGAGATAGTGATGACATGGGTACTTTTACGAACCATTTTCAATATGATGCTCTAGTAGACTCCTGATGTTCCGGTTCTAGATTTCAATATCGCGCCTTTTTGGCGCGCATTGGATAAGCACGGCCTACTAGATTTAAGGAGCGGCGCGTTTTGTTATCCAATCCGCGAAATGTGAAACTCCGACTACTCGAGGCCATCAAATTAAGTAACAAATTAAAACGCCACCAGGATCGTGTTAGGGGTAAATATTATATTGTTCATCCGAAGCACAATATATTAGTCCAACTGGCATAACGACCTCTAATTAAGTTAGTACCGGCAACGGCTAATTATATGTAGTTTACGATGAATCAGATACCAGTTTCATGTTCACCTTTGAGATAACAACTTGTTGCAGTGGCATTAGTTTTATTTTTATGAATTAACGTATTGTTTTTTTTTTTCTCTTTTTACTTGATAACTCGTGTGATGGAAGAAATTGAGTTAGAAGAGCTGCTGTGTGGTAAATGTATATGTTTTGTGTTTCAATTGGACTTGTTTCAAAACATAAGTTGTTTACTGAGCTCTTTTATTATTAGTTGATGTCTGAACTACTAATTATGAGACTGATGTAGTAATGTAGTAAGACTAGATTAGTTAACTGATGTATAAATTAGCATTGTCTCTCCTTATTTTTTTGTTCTGAGGAGTACTTAAAATGTTTTCAAGACTGACAGAATACTGGATTTGAAAGAGGAGTAAGCCTTTCGGTTCAGTGCTACCACCTACCGCCGTTCATTTCACAAAACATTTATTAACCGTCCACTGCCTGGTCCGCGTGGATTTTTTTCTAGTAAAACTTTTCTTTAGATTTAAACATCTAGCAGTTAAATGCTTAAAAAATAAAAACATAACTATAATTGCTATTTCTTCTTTCAAATGTTTAATACTTGAAAAAGTATTCATTTGACATTGTGGGTTACCTACAATGCGAAGAGATTGCGCTGCCTTGCAGCTTAAGGCTAGGAAAATTTCGACGCGTCCATCAGGGCCGTGGTAGCATAATTGGTCAGTGCATTCGCCCGGATTAAGAAGAGTTGCGGGTTCGAGTCCCGATTGTTTTCTAGTAAAACTTTTCTTTAGATTTAAACATCTAGCAGTTAAATTCTTATAAATAAAAAACATAAACATTTATTAGATGTGTATCTCACTATAAACACAAGTAAAAAACACACCAGCCGAAGTTCCCTAGTCAGTTGCCAGCAGCGCCATCTACGAGCTATTTTAATTTGTATGTCAAGTCGCTTTTATAGCTTTCGATATAGAGCAGAAGCAGAATCTTTTGACTATTCGTTGAATAAAACCCAATGATAATGCCCGTAGATACTCTTCGTTTACGCCGCACGACCACTGAACACAATGCCCTTTTGGAAGACGCGGTGTCTGCGCCCGACGAGGTGGACGCAGAGAAGCGCGCCGAGTTGATAGTACGCGAAATGGAGCAGCATCAGCGGCTCATGGAGAACAACCCTGAAGCTGAGGAACTGAGGAGGTAAGGAATTGCGTAAGAGGACTATGAGGTTAGGCACTTCGGAGGTTAGAAACCCTGAGGCCAAGGAATTTAGGAGGTAAAGAACTGCGGAATTGCTTAATTTTGCGCTTCAGACACATGGTCATATTGGTAACGCTCTGACAAGCGCGTCTAGTTGAAAATGCGTGAAATGGAGCAGCATTAGTGGCTCATGGAGAACAACCCTGAAGCTGAGGAACAGGAGGTCAGGAATTGCGTAAGAGGACTATGAGGTTAGGCACTTCGGAGGTTAGAAACCCTGAGGCCAAGGAATTTAGGAGGTAAAGAACTGCGGAATTGCTTAATTTTGCGCTTCAGACACATGGTCATATTGGTAACGCTCTGACAAGCGCGTCTAGTTGAAAATGCGTGAAATGGAGCAGCATTAGCGGCTCATGGAGAACAACCCTAAGGCTGTGGAACTAAGGAGGTAGGGAATTGCGTAAGAGGACTATGTGGTTAGAAACTTTGAAGGTTAAAAACCCTGAGGCCAAGGAACTTTAAAGGTAAGAAACTGCGCGACATTGCATAATTTTGCACTTTAGACCCCCATGGTGATAATGGTGACGTTGCCAAGCGCGCGTAGTTGGTGCGTGAAATGAAGCAGCAGGGCTCATGGAGAATAACCCGGTGGCTGAGGAACTAAGAAGTAAGTGAATTATGAGGTAAAGAACTTCGGAGGTTAGAGGCTCTGTGGCCAAGAAATCTAAGAGGTTAGGAACTGCGGCATTGAATTATTTTGCGCTTCAATCTCAGGGTCATATTGGTTACGCTGACAAGCGCACTGAGCTGATAGACCGGCTTCAGCGGCACATGCAGAACAACCCTGATGCTGATGAACTTAGGAGTTAAGGAACTCAAAAGGTTTTTTTATGATTTAGCAGGCATACGATACTGGAAATCCACCTGATGGTAAGTGGTCACTGCCGCCCATGGACACTTGCAGCATCAATGATACCATTCATGAGTCCGGACTTGATGGTAAAGGTTTACTCGCCCTTTGAAGACCACCATATCATATCTAAAAGCTGAGGAAAGTACGTTCCAGATCTTGCTGGTACCTAAGAAAAAGGAACGCGCGTGAAGCATGGTGCTAGAACGCCAAGCGTCCAAATGGTGGGGGTGAAACTCCTCTCAGGAACACTGATGCCAAGGAAGTAAGGAACTGCGGGATTGCATAATTTTTCGCTTCAGACACATGGTTATAATTATTGGTTACGCTGACAAGTGCGCAAGCTAACAGCAAGGGCGGATCCAGCTTTGGCGCCAGGGGGGGGGGGGGGGGGGGGGGGTCATATAGTCGTGGTCAAGTCACAGTGGGTACAGATTCTGAAGTACAGATTGTGAAGTGGGTACAGATGGACCCAGCCCAGAGAGGGGTCATTACCCCCATGACCCCCCCTCTGGATCCGCCCTTGGCTAACAGTGCGCGAGACGGAATCTCAGAGAACGAGGAACTGAGGAGGTAAGAGAAGATGATCTACCTCATTTGTTCTATATTTATATATCTATAATACCTTTCCTTGTTATTAGAAAGTTCTAAGTGCGATTACGCAATCTCTTGAGGATAAATCTTTGCTGTTTCGAGATTTTTAAGCAAATTTTCGGGCATTTGGGTCAGTGATCAATTTAATCGACAGCTGAGGAATCAATTTGATCGACAGATGTTAACGACCACTTAAGCCATAAGAGTTAAACGTAAACATTCTCAACGCGACTGAAAGCAGGAGACCTATCAACAATATTATAGATATTTTGAACGCATTCTGCATCAAAAAACTCATTCAAAATTCAATATCGTTTATTCAGTCTAGGCTGTTACAAGTCTTGTGAATGTCGAAAAGCTATGCCATCGGTTCGCAAATCGACGGGGGAAGACCTTGTACTGAGAAGAATCGGCAAGAAACTCAGCAAGGGCTGTTTTTTTTCTCCCTGTTTTATTTCATACAGTGTCTTCCAATTGAAAGTTGACATCAAACTTGCAAACATGTGTTGAGGTCAACTTCCATCATATAATGTCAAATATGTAACAATAGACATTCAATGAACTTACTAACAATAAGTGTAAAGAAAAGTCCCAAAATAGCAAGAAACAATCTTCAAAACAAATTGAACAAGTATATTAAAGGGAGAAAGTGCAAGGTTCTCTTCAAAACTCTTTCTAAGGCCCCCAGATTTAATATAACTTCAAAAAATTATCTACAGGTAACATTACAACCAGGCCGTTTTATCATTCAAATATTGATTTACTGAATAATATCCTTTTTTAAATAAGCAATTCTTAATGTGTATTATAAAGGAGATTGCATAAATTGGCCCAAATGTACAAAAAATATTGACATATACGGTAAATCTTGGCGTAATTTGTACTTTATTTTACAGTCATTAGATTTCAACGGACACCTTTGTATAATATATTCATTTTAAAAAGTACTTTTAATTTTACCGGTTTGGAAAACATACGAATAATTTTTAATGGCTATGGGTGTAGTAATAAATAACATCAAAACAAATCTATTTTGTAAAGATCAATAAAATAATATATTTATATATAATTTTGAATCTAGGAAATATTTTTTCATGATTATTGGTCTTTAGGCGAAACATGTATGGAAGCTGAGCAATCTCCTTTATGAAGAACATATGAAATGCAGGTCGCGGCACGTAACTCTAGCGCTGAACAAAACGCTGGGGGAATAGCTGCGCATGGGTACGACTGGAGAGCCAATCGGCGCAACGTACGCCCACCCGCGCACCTCGTTTCCCCCCAAGACGTCTTAATTTTTACTTCTGCGCAATAACGTTCAGCGCTAGAGTTATGTGCCGCGACTTTAAGCCTATCATGTAGGATATTATAAGTGATGCGTTATCTATATTTCGTTCAGAGAGGCTCTTCGGGACCTGCCCCAAGGTCTGACGATGAAGAGGAACGTGCGGGCCAAACTTTCCGCTTCCGTCAGCCTGCGTTCTCGGCAGCGACCCATCTCCTTTATGAAGAGAATGAAGTATAGGATCAGTTTCGCCTTCAAAAGGGTGAGTCTAGCTTCCTTGCTATAGTTAGAAAGAAAGAAAATCATTTATTGAAGACATACATTAACAATTACAATAAATACACAATAAACATAAAACAAAAGGTACATCGCCAACTAGGCCCCACCTCAGCATAATGTTGCTACGGCAAAAATGGATTGCCGCTGCAACGCTGATATTCTGGAGGGACCTAATTTGGACATTGACGGACGGAAATACAAGACAATCACTTAATACACAAAACAAAAACAAAAAACAATCTGGACCTCGCATCCTTCGCCCATAGCAGTCCAGCACAAAACAAAAAAAAAATACACAAGAGGCTAGTAGAGTTAGTGGAGGACTTTCTTTATAACACAGTATGCTTTCCAATTACAGAGCATAATGCGACTCAGTGCCGCACAATGCCCAATTATGCTGATGCTTAATTGGAACGTGAATTAGTTTTCAAATGCACCAGCAGAGTGCGCTAAGTTCAGTGTTGAAAAAAAAAGTCAATGTTTGTACCTTCATCTATACTTATATTTATTTAACATTTTGAATGAACTTTGATTATTTAAAAAAAACTATTTATTGAAACGAAAGCTTTAATAATTTTTCAACAATAAATAATAATACTAACTATAACATATAAATAAAACATTTCGATCAATGCCAACTTAAAGAAAAAACACTTGTTAATTTTCTGTCTCTAAGTTGGTACCATTGCACGCATCACACGAAAGCATCACTTTTGAGAGTGCTCAATTGTGCGAAGCGTTGCTGTAGTTGGAACACTTAACGTTAAGCATTATGCCGCATAATGCGCAATAAAGCTATAATTGGAAAGCAACCACAATCAGTTATTAAAAACAAGGACGCAAATGTGTGTCACATGAAAAAGAGAGGGGTTTTTATAGACCGTAGTAATAACGATTGAGGAGCTGGCGAACAAAACGGTATAATTACATCAAATTAAATTTACAGGAGCAGTAAAAAACTGAATGACATACCTACTGTGAGCTATTGGCGAGATTTTTAATTTAGTAATTTTAACACTATTAAAGGCGGTTTTGATTGACATGAGTTGAAATTCAAATTCAGCTGGCCCTAAACCTTCGGGCTTTAAAAATAAAGTATTATATGGTCAAAACCATATGCGTAAATACCGTTTTCTTCGCAAGACCCAAATAGGCTGTTATTGGACTTGGAAAAGACTTCTTCGGAGGGTAGGCCGATATGTCTGCCAATAACAGCTTACCCGCAATTACTACAGTACCCTTAGCACGAAACAATATCGAATTCGAATAGTTTGCGAGTCCGGAATGTCATTGTCAAATGTGTACTGATTTTTAGTTTTCCTTACGTCCTTTGTGGCGCTGCTGTTCAAGTTTCCATACAAAATTTGACAATGACAATCGGACTAGCAAACTATTCGAATTCGATATTTTAGTTCGTACTAGCGTACTGTTATTCCGTGATCATGGCGCTTTCAACAGTGCCGAAATATCGGAAACTCACTTAAAACTAGGTAAGTTGCAACATTCCGAAAATTAAATAAATTGCCATGAAAGTTTAAAACAACAAATAACCATTTTTCAATATTTTACAAGTCCGATGCTAACGACTGCAGATGCAGCCGAGACCAACGGCTTAACGTACCTTCCAAAGCACGGAGGAATTCGAGATAGAAGATTTTTGGTCACCCATCCAATGACCGACCACTGCGAAAGTGGCTTAACTTCAACAATCGCCGCCGAAACGGATTACCTAATTATATTTATAATAATCTGTCGACTTTGTCCGTAGTTGCAAGACCGTTTCCGCGACCTGACATTCTCCATCGAACTATGGTACGAAGCCATCCGCAACATTGAAGGCCACTTCGGTTCATCAGTAGGCTCCTACTTCTACTTCTTACGTTGGCTGTTTGCGCTAGATCTAGCTTTGTGTATGCTACTTCTAGCGTTTGTGATCGTGCCACAAACATTATATAACTCCCATCAGAACACAACGCTTGAAAGAAGTTTTGTTGATCTCATCGCTGGAAAGGTAATTATTAGACATTCTCTTTTTTTTTAAAGAACCTATATTGCATAACTGTCTTCTACTATATCTACTACTTCCTTGCTAGATCTAGCTCTATTCATACTGCTATTAGCGTTCGTGGTTGGTCATCACTCAAATATTTTAAATGGATCCGGCTCGAAGGACCAAAATGTCGGCGATGAAAATGATGAAACTGGTGAAAGTAGTGAAACTGGTGAAAGTGATGAAAGTTCTCAGTCCTCGGATCCCTGTTGTGGACTGTACGAGTAGGTTTCCGGATTCAAAACGCTGGTGTTGCTTTACTGCTTTCTTTATTCTTCTGGCTAGTTGTTCACATGTTGATTGTTCCTGACTGACTACAATAGGGTATTTGACAGTATTAAAAATAAAGTGGCAATTTTTAGTGGTTGTTTTTGTTGTTAGTGTTTAAATGAATATTGGCAGGGGTTTTTATTATTTTTACAAAAAAATATTCATAATTTTACTAAAAACCCACGAAAAAGATAATAGTTTTCTTATCTATTGTCACGTGACCCAAAACGCTTGGGATTGGCAGAACCTAAAATGACGTCATACGCAAGTAAACTTCTGGTAAAAGTGACATTACATTGTACCGTTTGACGTTTTAATAACAGTCGTGTGACGACACACACTAGTAAGACGCCATTTTGTCCAGAGAAACGTTTTCGCGGCAACTTGAAAATGGAGTTTTTGATTTGGTTATTTTTACTGAAATACACAATAGAATGATGAATGTCCACTTTTTACGGACTCCATAAACATTGGTCAATAACGTGAGATCGTTTTCTAAAACTTGTCAAATACCCTATTTGCCTTACAAATGTTTCGGCTTATATGATAACTAGCAAACCAGTGAACCAAATGTTCACCAAAACCTGATTTAAAATTAAAAAAAATGTATTTAATTAATTGAGAACTTCGGAGATTTTGTGTGGTTTCCTTTGAAATTCGTGATTTCTCGAAAACCGGAAGTGCTACGTTACTCCGGTTTGTAGTCTTATCAGACTATTCTTAACTTATAACTTAAACATTCTCTTTATCTATCTCTTACGGTTTGGCCGCTGAAACAGCACCACAGACAGACGGACGGACGGACTTGTGAGCCGTCGAACAATCACAGTTGAATCAAAGAGAGACGTGGTAGATGCTTTAATGCGCATCTACCACGTCTCTCTTTTAAAGTACGCCTTCTGATTGTAAATATATATTAAAAAATAGGCAGTGCCTGCGCAAATTCTAGATCCAGTTTCCCTGGCTAGTTCTATATAAATAGTTATATAACATAGCGTTCCCAGGGTTTGTTCGAGGATTCGATATTGTTCTACGGCCACTACCAGTCGGGCGACGCGAGTGGCGCGGGTCAGCCCTACTACATGCCGTACGCTTACTTCTTCACCATGGTCTGCTTGTACCTCACGTTCTTCGGCGCGCTGTGTTATAGGTAATTTCCTAAAAAATTAAAGAATATAAATAAAATACGAAGCTTAGTATCGTGATTTTAAAAGCTATTTGTCACTAGCTGTCGCCCGCGAATTTGTCTGCATTAACTTAAAATTTTTGAGAATCTCATAGGAACCTAACATTTTTCTGGGATAAAAGGTATCCTATGTCTGAATTCAAAATATAAACTATATGTGTATCAAATTTCATCCAAATCCGTTCAGTAGTTTTTGAGTGAAAGCGTTACTAACAAACAGGCTCACTTTCGTGTTTATAATATTAGTTGGCCTAGTGACACCCTCTCGCTATGCTTCAATGAAAACTATAGTTTTTTTGTTCCTGTGCATGCTCCTATTCATTGCTGAAAACTGCATTAAAATCCGTTGCGTAGTTTAAAAGATCTAAGCGTACAGACAGCGGGAGCGACTTTGTTTTATCTAATATATAAAATTCTCGTATCGCGGTGTGCGTAATTGAACTACTCCGAAATGGCTCGACCGATTTTCATGAAATTTTATATGCATATTCAGTAGGGCTGAGAATAGGACAACATCTATTTTTTATCTCCCTAAATGTTAAGGGTTGTCCACGGACCAAACTTAATTTTTTTGGTCCATTCTTTTTGTTTTTATTTTTTATTATACATCATACAAAAATACATACAACCTAAATTTTCACCCTTCTACCACCAACCCCCATTTTTTTATGGTGGTACGAAGCACGCTGGGACAGCTAGTACTATATAAAAAGAAGATCTTTCTTTCGACCACAGAACGGCGTATTCGTATCGTCGCAACTTCATAGAGACCGCAGGTGGTGTGAGCCATTTGTTCGCGAACAAAGTGTTCTGCGGTTGGGACTTCAATATTATTACTCCGCAAGCAGCCGCGCTTAATGCTGCCAGCATTTACAACGAGTTCAAGGTATTCAGTCTAATGTCGATCTTATTCCAACAGCAATAGAGTTGATTATTATTAAAGGGTGGGACCTCAACTTAATCACTGCGCAAGTGGCCGTGTTCAACGCTGCCAGCATTTACATCGAGTTCAAATATTCAGGGCAATGTCGATCTTATTCCAACAGCAATAGAGTTGATTAATATTAAAGGGTGGGACTTCGACATAATCACTGCGTAAGTGGCCGTGTTCAACGCTGCCAGCGTTTACAACGAGTTCAAGGTATTCAAGGCAATGGCGATCTTATTCCAACAGCAATAGAGTTGATTATTATTAAAGGGTGGGACCTCGACTTAATCACTGCGCAAGTGGCCGTGTTCAACGCTGCCAGTATTTACAGCGAATTCAAAGTATTCAGGGCAATGTCGATCTTATTCCAACAGCAATAGAGTTGATTAATATTAAAGGGTGGGACCTCGACTTAATCACTGCGCAAGTGGCCGTGTTCAACGCTGCCAGCATTTACATCGAGTTCAAGGTATTCAGGGCAATGTCGATCTTATTCCAACAGCAGTAGAGTTCATTTTTGCTATGTTAAACAATAAACATCTCATTCCCACGGCATAAAGTAACGGTTGAAAACAATAACGGTTGTACTACAAAAGAGTTAGGCACTGTTTTAAACTATGTTGAGCCAAAATTTCTAGGACATTTTTCGGGGCATCTTCATGGCTACTCAGTGCTGCCAGCATTTTCAAAGAGTTGAATACCTTCAACAGGAATAGGTATCCAGAGCAATTAAAGGACTTAACGGACGTGTGGAATCTTTTCAAATATTTCTTACTTAAGAAACAAAATAGTTTTACACGGTTTTAAAAAAAAATAGGGAAAAATTTACAAGATATTCTTTCTTAAACTCGTGTTAATTGCAAATCTAACAATGTTGTGCTCAATGGAACAAAAAATCATTTCTATTTAATTATTTTTAGAAAAGTTACAGCAGAACGCCGATTAACCGAATCGCCAATTATCCGAATCAGTCCTAAGCGTAATTAAAAAATTAAAACCAAGTTATTTTTGTTTTGTTTTTTTTGTAACAAGTTGGAACTCGCTGGAGTCCAGATATATTTCAACTGTTATGGTTGAAAGCTAGAGGCAAGACACTACATGTTTCGCGTGGCGCGGTTTTTTTGCTACTATGTACCTCTATTATTGTATTTAGTATTGTAAAACTGTGTTTGTTAAACTTATAAGGTTAATTATATGTGTGGCATTTCGTTTTTCTTTATTACCAGTTATGTCCCATTATCCGAATCGAACCCGGTTCGAATTAATTGGGATAATCGGCGTTCTACTGTATAATGCGATTCAACTGAGAATAGGACCGACCGGGCGCCATATTTTGAAGTCATAGCTGTCAATTCAAACCAAATAGATAGAGTGAGCAAAAAAAAGTTTTTATTTAATAAAACTTCTAACTAAGACTGTGTGAGAAAAAACAAATCAGAATCTAGCTCATCAATTCCGTTCATCTCTGCATTACCGCCGGAGTAGTTATGAATAATCATGTGCTATTTAGGTCACATACGAACATGCATCCTTTAGGTAAACGAAAGTTTTAAATCGAGTTTCTGAACGCAACTTAAAGTGGCATTTGGTTGACGGTTCAGGTTATCAACCATTCATAGCCAAAGCTCAATAATTGAAAAAAAATATCAACCAATATTAATTATCAGTATTTGTTATTGTTTGTTTACAAATGTGTGGTTTTTATTCTACAACTAGTGGCCCGCCCTCGCTTCGCTTCGGTGTAGAGCTGTAGTGTAAACTATAGTTTTTGTTCTCAGGCTTGTGCTATAAACAATGACTTTATTTATATAATAATTACACGTGTTATTGTGAGTCAACCATAAAAGATAGACATATGCTGTTGCGGGATATTTTTTAGAAAATTTTATGTAGAATATTTCCGTCATACATGATTTCTATGTAACTTTAACCATTAAGGCTGCACACGCGACGGAAGCTTAAAAAATGGAGTAACTTCTCCCGTTTTCCCAACATTTCCCTTCACTACTCTGCTGCTATTGATTGTAGCGTGATGAAAAGTATACTATAACCTGCCCAGGAGTATGAAGAATAATTGTACCAAGTTTCGTTAAAATCCGTCGAGTAGTTTTTGTTTCTATAAGGAACATACACACAGACAGACAGACAGACAGACAAAAATTTTAGTGATTGCATTTTTGGCATCAGTATCGATCACTAATCACCCCCTGATAGTTATTTTGAAAATATATTTCATGTACAGAATTGACCTCTCTACAGATTTATTATAAGTATAGATTAGCAGAGTGCTAAAAAAGGGTTCCAAGTTTTTTTTTGCAAACCGTACTTTTTAAGCGATATTTGACAGTTGGAGGTCATTGGCTTTCCTATTCTTATTTGAATCGCATTATATATATTATTTGTTCTCTCAGAATAGTACTTGATTTTTCATAGTGTCAAAATAATAACCTATTCAATTTGTCCGTATAAGCTATAACTATCATCATCATCATCATCAGCCTATTAATGTCCCCACTGCTGGGGCCTTCCCTTCCCTATGGATGGAATAGGGAGATTGGGCCATGACCCACCACCCATCCAATGACCGACCACTGCGAAAGTTGCCTATCTTCAACGATCGCAGCCGATCGCGCTAACCACTTGCGCCATCGAGCTCCTCGCTATAACTTTAAATAAGGTTTATTTTCGTTTATCATCGTTTCATATTTGTTAACTTACTTGTAATTACATAAAAGCCTCCTTTATATTACAGGAACTCCTCAACGAACAGAACAAGAACAGTCCATCTGCGTCTTATTGGACTCGCGTGATGCGCTGCTCCACGAATATAGCCGTTACGACCCTAGTATTAGGGACCATAGCGTCGCTGGAATACGGCCTATGGCTACTGCTGGATACGGAGCCGAGTCTTCCAAGATGGGAATTAATAGTGTCCCTGATATTATGTTCGGTTCTAGCTGTGTTACCGATCATATTCGGAGTTATAGTTAGGTATGTTCGCAAAATAAACCTAATATATTTAGCGTTTTGCTCGATGAATTTAGCCGTTATGACATTGGTGTTAGGGACCTATGGCTACTGCTGAATACGGAGCCGAGTCTTCCAAGATGGGAACTAATAGTGTCGCTGATATTATGTGCGATTCTAGCTGTGTTACCGATCATATTCGGAGTTAAAGTTAAGTGTGTTTGCCAAATAAACCTTATAGCGTTTTGCTCGACTAATATAGCCGTTATGACACTGGTGTTAGGGACCATAGTGTCGTTGAAATACGGCCTATGGTATCTACTAGATACAGAGTCCAGAATTCCAAGATGGGAATTAATGGTGTCGCTGATATTATGCGCGGTTCTAGCTGTGTTACCAATCATATTCGGAGTTATAGTTAGGTATGTTTGCAAAATAAACCTAAAAAATTTTGCGTTTTGCTCGACGAATATAGCCGTTATGACATTGGTGTTAGAGACCAATGCAGCCGGGACCAACGTCTTAACGTGCCTTCCGAAGCAGGGAGGAGCTTGAGATAACAAGTATTTGGTCGCCCATCCAATGACCGAGCACTGCGAAAGTTGCTTAACTTCTACGATAGCAGTCGAAAGGCGAACCACTTGCGTCATCGAGCAATACGATGAAAAGTTTTTTTAAATGTTACTGTGTGTCACTTCAATTCGACACGACGACGAAATGACCTCCGTGGCCGAGTGGTTTGTACGCTGGGTTTCATGGTGTCGCCGACTCGAGAGGTCCCAGGTTCTAATCCCGGTAGGGGCAAATGTTTGTGTGATGAATACGAGCATTTGTACTCCAGTCATGGATGTTTAATATGTAATTCTATATAAATATACTTATATATGTACAGTATATGTATTCTATCCGTTACCCTAGTATCCCATAACACAAGCCTTTTAGTGCTTACTTTGGGGCTAGGCTATTTGGTATGAGTGTTGGCAATATTTATTACTATTATTAATGAAAACAACACGTTGTTCATAACTATTTTTTTTACTAAAATCTTGGTAAGTATTTCTTCAAATGAAAACACTTTCCCTCCTAGGCTGGAGTACTACGAGCCTCGCACGGCTTTGTACGTGACGCTGGCTAGGACCTGGCTTCTGGACATCGGCACTTTACTCTTACTCCTGGTCTACTGGTCGCATTCCAATCTGCCCGTAAGTATATACATATTAACTACAGAGGAAAAAGCACGGCAAAAAAGCATTTTTTACATTACCCCTAGCATGAACCAATATCGAATTCGTATCGTTTGCGAGTCCGAAATGTCATTGTCAAATGTGTACTGATTTTTAGTTCTCTATACGTACTTTGTGCCGCTGCTGTTCAAGTTTCCAACCTTCGCGCTTGGGCCTCAAAATTAATCGTATTGTTTTATTTCTTTAGCAGACATTAAAGGTGTCCTAAAGTAATTTCTTCGCAATAACAATTTTATTTCATTATAAGATGTGAACACACACTAAAGTGTCTTTAAAATCAAGTATTTTTTTGCAATAAAAATTTACCAACCGATATTTACCAAATACAGTCTGCCAGATTAGAATTATATTTTAATTTCAACTCTGGAATGTATAATAAGCTTACAAAGTGTCCCATAATTTTGTAAAGATAATAAAAATGGCGAGTTTTAATAAATTTGTAAATTGTGGGAAAACATTAAAAGTCAACTGCGGTGGTAATAATGTGCTTTGATTACTTGATCTCTAGACAGTTTTGAAGTGTCAAAATATGGATTAGCCATGATGGTCTTTCGAGCATTTTAATTTTTACCGCTAAGTTAAATTAGCCCGTATTGCTATGGAATAAAGCCTAGTTTGGTACGACAGTGCTGAGAGATGGCGCTGGGCCAGGAGCCTTAAAATACGTACATGATTGTTCCCTGCTTAAAATGATTTATTTTTGTCGTTAGCAGACGTATAAGGAGATTATGGTCCTTCGAGCAATTTAATTGTTGTCGCCAAGCTAAATTAGCCCGTATTAGATTTAATGGAATAAAGCCTACTTTAGTACGACAGAACTGCGAGACAGTACTTGACCAGGGGCCTTAGAAGACGTACATGCTTGTTTTTTTTTGCTTATTATGATGTTATTTTTTTCATTTTAGTTAGTAGAATGTAGAAATGGATTATAGAAATGGTCCTTAAAGCCATTTAATTTTTATTGCCAAGCTTAATTAGTTTAGTACGACAGCGCTGCGAGACAGCACTGGACCGGGAGACTAAGAATACGCACAGGCTTGTTTTTTGCTTATTATGATTTTCTTTTTTGTATTTCGTTAGTATAACTTAGAAATGGATTATTAAAATGGTCCTTCGAGCAATTTAATTTTTATCGCCAAGCTAATTTAGCCCGTATTGCTATGGAATAAAGTCGAGTTTGGTACTCCAGTGCTGGGAGACGGCGCTGGGCCAGGAGACTTACCGCCTCGTGTTGTTGGATGCACTCATATCTCTGTTCCTCCTGCCGCTGCTTGAGTTCTGTAGGGCTTTGGTTTATAAGTGAGTTTTATTTTATTTTTTATTATTTGATTTTATTACATTAATTTTGATTTGCTTTTGCATATAAGTATAGTTAGCAACAGGTTAAGTTGTCTAGCATATGAGACACAGTTGTCCAAAACTGTCGAATTGATGCAACTGATTTTAAGATTTAATTTATTTGATAAAAGAATTATATTGGATTCGGAAAATTTGAGAAATTGTAGTAGCTTGACGTGTTGTTTACTGTACATACCTATTAACAATATGAATAGAATAGAATAATTCTTTATTGCAAAACTGTTACATTAAGTGATACTGCTAGATGTTAGTGCACACAATTGAAATAAACAGTTACCCTAATCGGGCATGCAATAGTCATTCTTACAAAACATTATTATTAAAATATTTATTTAGATTATAAAATGCATTATATAATAAACATAGCTTACAAACATATATTCAGGAATGACCGCAGATAAGGCGGTAAATTATTGTATATTCGTATAGAAGACATATAAGTACTTTTTTGCTGAATTTGATAGAGGTAAATGTATGATAATGATATATGTTAGTTCATTAAAAAAATCATCAGTTCGCCAGACAACCGAAAATTCAAAGTGAGTCACCCTATCCTATGTATGTTTGTCCCTTCGAATTTTGCATTATCTTTTGTTACCAGCGACTACAAAAATTGCTAAAAATTAAAGCTTGAGCATCTCGGGACGCACGACAGAAGTGATAACTTAAACTATCCTTTTTTGAGCACAGGAGATTGCTAGGTGAAAGGGGATTAGAGGGTGTAAAGGGGATTCGAGGGTGAAAGGGGATATTTAAAGGGCGTTACGTGTCGAAGCGGGTTACCCTCCCATGAGAAGTTATCGCTTCAAAGAATAGAAATCTTACACGCATCCAAAGGGCGAGCTCACAGAGCTCGATCGTGGTTCACTCCAGACGAACTTTAGAAGCGTCTATACGCACGCTCGCGCCTGAGCGCTAGAGCTTTGTGACGTCACAGTCACCACGCGGCCTTTCGGAAATTCGTTTAGAAATTGGGTCATAACTTCGTCAATATTTGTCGTAAAACAACAATTTAACCACTGTATTTTATGAAATCCCTAGCTCTATAAATCTGCATTCTCAACTAAAATAGTTATGGATCCTCATAGCTGTTCTATGGTCACGTGACCAAAAACGCCTGGGATTGGCCAAGACTAAAATGACGTCGCACGCTAGTAAACTTTCGGTCGAAGTGACATTACATTGTACTCTTGACATGCTAATGACAGACGTGTGACGTCACATACCAGTGAGACACTATAATGTCCAGAGAAACGTTTTCGTGGCAACTTGAAACTTAACTTTTAATTTAGTTTTTTTTACTGAAATACTCAACAGAATGATGAATATCTACTTTTTATGAACTCCATAAACAGTCACACTAATAGTAAAAAGGCGAAAGTTTGTGAGTGTCTGAGTGTGTATGTTTGTTCCACGTCACGTCTAAACGGCTGGAGCGATTTTAATAAAATTTAGTATTGAGTTAGCTGACACCTGGATTAACACATAGGCTACGTTTTACTGCGGGAACACCGCGGGGCACAGCTAGTAGTAAATAACGTGAGATCGTTTTCTAAAACGACACCCTATTTTTCCTGCTTCTGTTTTACGTGAAGCCTTTGTCCACTACTTGCCACTATTTACGTATAATATTTTCAGATTGAATCCCAAATCTTCTCCGCCGGAATTCAACGTGGCATACAACTCGTTGACGATCATATACAACCAGACGGTGCTGTGGTTCGGCATGATATTCTCGCCCTTATTAGCGGTGGCCGTAACGCTCAAATTCCTGCTTCTGTTCTACGTGAAACGTGAATGTGCCAGACGCGCCTGCCAGCCTGCGAGAAAGGTATGTTAATATTAATAATATCTATAACCATTGAAAAAGGAAAAGGCAGAACATCGTCTTGTCGTCTTTCGGTTTATTTTCCTCAGTGACATATAAAATAAAGTAAAAAGCTTTTTGGCGGGATTTCATCGAGTGCGTTTGGCGTCTTATTTTAATTATTCTTAAATTCGTTCATAGTGGATATTTTGAAATAAAGTTGGTGTGATTTTGTGTTACACCGTCTGCGCAACTGAAGAATTAGTGGAATCTTTAAAATATACGCTATTCTGGTCAAGTGGTCGTGTGAAATTTATTGTAGTGTTGACTACCTCACAGAAGCTTATCCAAAAAGTCAACTCGAGACATTTCATGTCAAACACTCAAAAAAACATTAGAATGCGTCACACCGACAATCTATTGTAAAAAAAGAAGATTAATATAACTTAAGACCAGGCTGTATGGGCATTGTTCCCTTGCCTTCCCTAAAACGGGAGAATCTTAAAAAAAAGTAAAAATTACAGGTTTTCTATGTGTTATGTCAATGTATGCCGGTCAGCTATGATTAGCGATTAGCATACAAGGAGTTTGTAACAGTTTTCATCGGCACATTAATGTTCCCACTGCTGGTGCACTGGCCTTGTCTACGGATGGGATAAAGAGACTAGGCCATGGCCATTACCATGGATATTAGGCGGATTGATGAGTGTGAACGACTGCAAATGTAGCCGGGACTTAAGTTGTCTTCATTGGGAAGCTGGAGATAGAAGATACGTTGATAAATCAAAAGATTTTTTTTTACTAGAAAAAGTCCATGCGGTCCATGCATCAGACAGGTTCGAATCTGCACCTTACACTCTCCGGGCGGACGCACTAATATATATAGTAATAGTAGCATAGTTAAATACTTAAAATAAAAATATAATGAAATTATGTTTATATGAATATAATCGTCATCAGCCCACTGCTGGGGCACAGGCCTTTCCTACTGATAGAATAGGGAGATTGGGACATTATTATCCACCTCGCGGCTCCAGTGTAGATTAGTGGGTGCTAACAGCTGCAGATGCAGCCGGGGCCAACGGCTAACGTGCCTTTCGAAGCGCGATACAGTAAATTTTGGTCACTCATCCAATGACCAGCCAATGCGTATGTTGCTTAACTTTCAAGATCGCAGATCAAACGCGCTAACGCACTGCACCATCGAACTCTACAACATTAATAATTAAAAAAAAAACATGTATATATATTCATCAAAAAAGTCGAGTACAAGCATTATGTTGTACGGTTTTGAACTTTTGACGATTTTCACTATTGTAATCTATCTATCTATATATACACAATATATTATATACGAGTATAAAGCAATTGCTGTTCGTTAGTCTCGCTAAAACTCGAGAACGGCTGAAAGGATTTATAGGAAGGATAACGGCTGATATTATTTAAAAGGTGAAAAATTCGAATGATTGCCGGGAAAGCTCTAAAAACAGCCCTTTTCGTTTTCTAAATAAAATTTTATACAAAAATTTGGGTCTTTTATTTGTCGATTGAGGCAGTACGAAGTCTGCCGCGTCAGCTAGTATATTAATAATTATTATGATAAATTAAGCAGTTTATAAAATTCACTACGTATAAAGTCCACAGGCACACATAAGAAATATTATAATTTTGCGATACAAAGTAATCTCTCAAAGTTAGTGACCCAACGAGGCTGGTGTTCCGCAGACGATTTCTAAGCCAAGTCACTGAGTCGCTCGGGTCGGGTTTGCTGAATCGACAATTTGCAACAATTATATTCGCTACGCTTATAAGGAGCTCGATGGCGAGGGTGGTTAGCGCGTTCGGCTGTGATCGTTGAAGTTAAGTAACTTTAGCAGTGGTCGGTCGTTGGATGGGTGACCAAAAATCTTCTTTATCTAGTTCCTCCGTACTTCGGAAGGCACGTTAAGCCACGATTTTGTTCGTGATCTTGTACCTAGGGTATTTAATGTCGTTGTTTGTTTATAAAGGTATGGCGAGCTGCGCAGACACAGACCGTATTTTATATGCTGGTCACATTGTCTCTATTCGCTGCATTGTTTGGACTAGGATCTCTGTTCCTCAGGTGAGAAATAAACTAATGGCCGTTACAGACTTATGAAAATCGACGCCATCCGACGCCACGCCATGCGTATTGTCAATTCAAAACGTACTATGAACAGAATCACATTAGGAACATCGGACGCGACGCGATGCGCCATAGAAAATACGCGTCGTGTGGCGTGGCGTGGCGTCACATTTTGTAAGTCTGTTTCTGCCTTAATATGTATACTAATAATCATAATCAAAATCATTTATTCAGTTTAGGCTATTACAAGCACTCATGTATGTCTAGAAACTACGTCATATCGGTTCGTAAATCTACGGCGGGAGACCGTGTACTGAGAAGAACCGGCAAGAAACTCAATATGGGCTGTGTTTTTCTCACTTTTTTATTATTTACAGAGTCGTCAAGTTGAAAAATGACTTCAGATATGATTCATGAAATCACCTTTCATTACATAATGTGAAATATACATAAATTGTTCACCTGCATTTTGATTGCAGTGTCATACGGTATAAATACAAATAGTGTTATTTATGTTATATGCAACTAGACATTATTAACATCTTAAATATCAAAGTTTGTTAGGGCAGACTTATCTCCGCTGGCAACACCCGTTCACGAGCATGACGCATGAACCAGCCAACGCTTCGCTCAACCATATTTTAGGGAACGTAACGTATTACTTACATGCTTCCAAAAAATGTATTTAGAGTATAATAAATGTGTCTGAGAGCTTGATACTTCGTTTACCGTGTACATTTGTACCTAAGCCATGAAGTTTATAAATAATTCAGCAAATATACACTTACCTATGTATCGTATGTATTTCTATGTGTTACATTTGTCTTCCATAACACAAGCTTCACAGTTCTTACTTTGGGGCTGGGCTAATTGGTGTGATTGGTAGAAATATTAATTTATTAGCGACCACTCTAAACTTTTTATTGGGAATCCCCCAGAATCCTAACATTTTTTCCGGGATAAAAGTATCCTAAGTCTCGAACATTTTCATAAACTATATCCGTACCAAAGATCGAAATACTTTCAGTAGTTTTTGCGTGATTGAGTAACAAACTTATGTATTTCTAATATTAATAGGGTTTATAGTAGGATTAATCTATCACTAGCAAACCAGTGAACCAAATGTTCACCAAAACCTGATTTAAAAAAAAAATGTATTTAATTAATTGAGAACTTCGGAGATTTTGTGTGGTTTCGTTTGAAATTCGTGATTTCTCGAAAACCGGAAGTGCTACGTTACTCAAATCCGGTTTGTAGTCTTATCAGACTATTCTTAACTTATAACTTAAATATTCTCTTTATCTATCTCTTACGGTTTGGCTGCTGAAACAGCACCACAGACAGACAGACGGACGGACTTGTCTAATAGATAAGAGATAATAGACAACGGAAGACCAGCGCTGATGGAAACATCAGCATCATGCCGAGTTGGGACCGTTTTGAGACAGAAAATTTGGATGTGTGTGTGATTTGTTTATATATTATTTTACTGTTGGTTTGTCTCAAATAAAATTATTTTTCTTTCTTTCTAATCTATATATATAAAACTCAAAGGTGACTGACTGACTGACATAGTGATCTATCAACGCACAGCCCAAATCACTGGACGGATCGGGCTGAAATTTGGCATGCAGGTAGATGTTATGATGTAGGCATCCGCTAAGAAAGGATTTTGATCAATTCTACCCCCAAGGGGATAAAATAGGGAATGAAAGTTTGTATGGAACTTTGTCAATTTTAAACCGATCGACCTGAGACTTTGCATGCAGGTATAAGAAGAATCATAGATGAATGTCATTGTGTATAATACAAGCCTGAGAACAAAAATTGTAGTCTACACTTCAGCTCTACACCGAAGCGAAGCGAGGGCGGGCCGCTAGTAATATATACACAAAAATTAATCGCCAAATTGTATGTACGCGCATACTTCCTAATAAGTTGATTTCTTAGATAAATACTATCCTATGTCCTTTCCCTGGATTCAAACTATCTCTATACCAAATTTCATCCAAATCGGTTCAGATTTTTAAGCGTGCATAGGTTACAGACAGACACGTTTCGCGTTTATAATATTAGTATTGATTTATTGATTACGTGTCATTTTGTCAAGGTCATCCTCTCATTCGTGCGGGCCGTTCCGTGCATACGAGAACGTATACAGCGTAGTGACTGAAGGCGTGTTGGGTTTGGCCCGACGGCCCACGTTACAACGGGCCCTCGCCTTCCTCACTCGGCCCGGGGTCATCGGATCTCTACTGCTCGCTCTCTGGTAACTAAACATTTACAGATAAGGGAGATATTTGATAAAAAACACAGAGGGGAACTTATACAGCGTAGTGTCTGAAGGCGTTTTGGGTTTGGGCCGACGGCCCACGTTACGACGGGCCCTCGCCTTCCTCACTCGGCCCGGGGTCATCGGATCTCTACTGCTCGCTCTCTGGTAACTAAACATTTACAGATAAGAGAGATATTTGATAAAAAACAGAGGGGAACTTATACAGCGTAGTGTCTGAACACGTTTTGGGTTTGGCCCGACGGCCCACGTTACGACGGGCCCTCGCCTTCCTCACTTGGCCCGGGGTCATCGGATCTCTACTACACGTTCTCTGGTAACTAAACATTTACAGATAAGCAAGATACTAGATACAAAATACAGACGGGAACGTATATAGCATGGTGACTGAAGGCGTGTTGGGTTTGGCCCGACGGCCCACGTTACGACGGGCCCTCGCCTTCCTCACTCGGCCCGGGGTCATCGGATCTCTACTACTCGCTCTCTGGTAACTAAATGTAACGGATAAGGGAGATATTAGATCAAAAACACAGAGGGGAACTTATACAGCGTAGTGTTTGAAGGCGTTTTGGGTTTGGCCCGACGGCCCACGTTACGACGGGCCCTCGCCTTCCTCACTCGGCCCGGGGTCATCGGATCTCTACTACACGTTCTCTGGTAACTAAACATTTACAGATAAGCAAGATATTAGATACAAAACACAGACGGGAACGTAAACAGCGTGGTGACTGAAGGCGTTTTGGGTTTGGCCCGACGGCCCACGTTACGACGGGCCCTCGCCTTCCTCACTCGGCCCGGGGTCATCGGATCTCTACTACTCGCTCTCTGGTAACTATACGTAACGGATAAGGGAGATATTAGATATAAAATACATAGGGAACGTATACACATTATCGGCTCTAATACTCGCTCTCTGGTAACTACTAAACGTTATACTAGGTTTACTAACGTAACAACATAATCAGAAATACAAAGTTAATTATAATGCGCAGCATAAGGTGGTAAATTGCCTCCTAGTATATTGTTCTGTATTCATTTTAACTTGGAGAAAAAACGCACATTATTACGAAAAAAACAATAATATTAATACTTATGAAGAAACATAAACACCGCGACAGCGCATTGCCTAACTTCTGATTGATTTACTGAAAGATCAACGACTCAATGTCTAAATTATTAAAAATTTAAGATAATTTCATATGCTGATATTATTATTGATAGATAATAAAAAATCACCTCGAGCCTCTTCAATTACGTCGTGACGTGGCGTCACTAAGCGCGTTCTATCGTCTGTACCACGGCGAGTGTCTGAGGAGTTATTCTCTCTTATTCCACCTTCCCCTTTCCTTCCGAGGACCACGCGCGCTGGCCTACGTTGTCACCGTCTTACTGTGGCTACAATTCCAACGCGTACAAAGAAATTTGGTGACTCATTTCTTTGTCGCACTATCCGTAAATGGAATGCTCTGCCCGCTCACGTGTTCCCTTCCTCTTACAACCTGGGATCCTTTAAAAGAGACGTGAAGAAGCAACATGCAGGCCGGCAGGGTGAGGATGGCTGGTGTGGCAGGTAGAACTGCTGCTTCAGCTATCTTCGCGTCTGGACTTTACCTTCACTTAACATCAGGTGGGGTGGAGTCATTAGTCGGACCTATCTATAAAAAAAAAAAAATGATCCTGCACAAACAGTTTTCAAGATTCGTATATACTAAAAATAATATATTTATATGTTTGTTTAGTGTGGCGGTGTATTACATGCGTGCTCGAGCTCGCGCGCAGCAGTCTATGGTTCGGATGTTGCGGCAGATGTTGTTGCTGCAAGCCAAAGACAAGGACTTCCTTCTAGCCGCCATATCAAAGGTGTCCAATGGGGGTAAGAGATTCATTCATAGTTATATTGACATCAGTCTACGGTCGGATGTTGCGGTAGATGTTGTTGCTGCAAGCCAAAGACATGGACTTCCTTCTAGCCGCCATATCAAAGGTGTCCAATGGGGGTAAGAGATTCATTCATAGTTATATTGACATCAGTCTACGGTCGGATGTTGCGGTAGATGTTGTTGCTGCAAGCCAAAGACATGGACTTCCTTCTAGCCGCCATATCAAAGGTGTCCAATGGGGGTAAGAGATTCATTCATAGTTATATTGACATCAGTCTACGGTCGGATGTTGCGGTAGATGTTGTTGCTGCAAGCCAAAGACATGGACTTCCTTCTAGCCGTCATATCAAAGGTGTCCAATGGGGGTAAGAGATTAATTCATAGTTATATTGACATCCGTCTACGGTCGGATGTTGCGGCAGATGTTGTTACTGCAAGCCAAAGACAAGGACTACCTTTTAGCCGCCATATCGAAGGTTTCCGACGGGGGTAAGAGATTCATTTTCATAACTTAATTATACATTCTGTAATTCACAGCCAAGTCAGATTTTGTTGAATGATTTTTTTATAACATTTGAACCATTAGTTATTGGATAGATTCGAGTGACATTGCTTTTGCGCACTGTAAGACTTTAAAGTGTTGTTTGTAAATACAGGTGTAAGTCGTAAGAGGGGTAATATAATCTTTTCTATTACCAATTATTATGTGATGGCTTATAATGGTTAAAAACAAAATGAAACCGACATTTTCGTAATGACAGTGATAACTTACAGTAATATCTTTAGAATGTGTACGTGTCCACTGTATGGATTTAATATTTTTTTTTTATTTAAAATTTCACCTTCAAATTTATTTATAAATAGCCACTTCATATCGTCGGAACGTTTTCAGAATGGCTGTACAGCCCCAGAACTCCCACCGAGGGTCCAGACAGTCACACCTGGAAGTATCTCCAGGAGGTAAGGAAGCCGTCCAACGCCGAATTCCACTTCGACGCGTCCCGTCTCAGCCATTCCTTGATGGAAGGCAGACCCAGGTCTTTGGCCATGGAGACCAGGACTCAGTCGTACCATGAACGTAGGAGTAACGATGGGGACACGGACAGCTCTTTCTCTTGGCAAGGTTCCAGTAATTGCCTCAATCAGGGCGAGGAAGCTAAAAAGAGATGGCTTTAACTTTTTCAATGTGTGTTTTGCTGAAATTTACAATGCAGGCGACATCTTTTTTAATAATTTTCGCTCGTTTGAAATTGCATCTCTGTATCCATTGAAACCTTCCCAGAATGGCTGTACAGCCCCAGAACTCAAACCGAAAGTCCAGAATTCTACTTAGACGCATCCAGTCTCAGCCATTCCTTGATGGAAGGCAGACCCAGGTCTTTGGCCATGGAGACCAGGACTCAGTCGTACCATGAACGTAGGAGTAACGATGGGGACACGGACAGCTCTTTCTCCTGGCAAGGTTCCAGTAATTGCCTCAATCAGGGCGAGGAAGCTAAAAAGAGATGGTTTTAACTTTTTCAATGCGTGTTTTGCTGAAATCTACAATGCAGGCGACATATTTTTTAATCATTTTCGCTCGTTTGCAATTTGCGTCTCCGTATCCATTGAAACGTTACCAGAATGGCTGTACAGCCCCAGAACTCAAACCGAGAGTCCAGAATTCTACTTTGACGCGTCCAGTCTCAGCCATTCCTTGTTGGACGGCAGACAGGTCTTTGGCCATGGAGACCAGGACTCAGTCGTACCATGAACGTAGGAGTAACGATGGGGACACGGACAGCTCTTTCTCTTGGCAAGGTTCCAGTAATTTCCTCAATCAAGGCGAGGAAGCTAAAAAAAGATGGTTTTAACTTTTTCAATGCGTGTTTTACTTAAACCTACTAAGTTTTCAATGTGTGTTTTACTCAAATCTAGTTCTGGTATATGATCCTATAGTATGGTTTCTTTGCGCCAGCAGTGAGGATATTTAATTTCTGATGATGATTTTATGGATGTGTTGAGACCATTTGCGAAGATAGTTCTCTCCAGTCTTCTGCAATGTCTTAGTCTCTCTGATGGTTGCCTATTCCTGTGCCCTGCCACTCTGAAAGCTGTAAAATTTCAGATTTTATGTTGAAACTTTCATTAATTTACACATATATCATCATCGGCCTATTAATGTCCCCACTGCTGGGGCACAGGCCTTCCCTATGGATGGAATAGGGAGATTGGGCCATGACCACCACGCGGGCCCAGTGCGGACTGGCGGGTGCTAATGACTGCAGATGCAGCCGCGACCAACGGTGCGTGCCTTCCGAAGCACGGAGGAACTCGAGATAGACGATTTTCGGTCACCCATCCAATGACCGATCACTGCGAAAGTTTCTTAACTTCAACGATCGCAGCCGAACGCGCTAACCACCTGCGCCATCGAGCTCCTCTTTCATTAATTTACACATATATATTATACCTAAATGAATTTGATGTCACGCCTCGCTTTACTTTAAGTTTTTTGGTCCTTCGAGCATTTCTGTATTAAGCTCTGTAATGTGATTTAATTTATTAAACATATCTTACAGATTAATTTAAACCTTTACGTCGAACTTTGTATTAGTTCATTTAATTTCAAGCGTCATTAACATTGTCTTCCATGATACGTTGTACTTTAATCAAATAATTAGAAATATAATGGAATACGGGGTGTATTCCGAAATATACATTAGTATACTGGCCAGTGACAAAGACGTCACGAATTCAACACCAAATTGTACTGGTATGCTACCATAATTTTACCGGGAAAACAAATATGACATATGACCGAGCGTGCGTGAGATGCATTCAAATTTTATTTTATTTAAAGAACAATAATGGCATCCGAACAAAAAGAATTACTTTTAATTGATGAGGTGAATAAAAAATCTTCTTTATTCGCGCTTTTTTTTAATATTTTGTCCTTTTATGACGTCAGTGCACTGGTCAGTATATTTCGGAACAATTCACCAGTATAGCGTCGATTCATGACGTCATTAGCACTGGACAGTATACTGGTATATATTACGGAATACACCCACGAATTGCGCTAGAAAGTGGTTCCACGCAAACTGCAATCAAGTAGGCGGGACGAAAAAAATGCGATCTACACGCCGATTTGATTGGTTGTGTTTACCGTTTAACATTATCTTACCCAATGAATGGTTAGGCGAATTCATTTGCAGTTATTTGATTTGTCAAAGTATTTTGTTTTTTCTGTGTGCGTGTCACGTTATTATTGAAGTTTCGGAACCATGTTTTAGCGGCTTTTGTTAGAGAGTAAGGCTTCTATATAAGTTCTAATTCGTTATATAAGGCTCGTTAACTTTGTCTTCCATGACAAGTAGTGTTTTAATATGACAAATGTATGTACATGCAAATGTGTCTTTAGAAAAAGTATTAGTATGATTATACAAAGCTTATTTACATTTTATACTTTAAGAATATGTCAAAAATATAAAAAATACCTTAGTATTTATGCAATGTTTTTTTATACATATAAAGCTTTATCATGAGAGTTATTTGATTCTTATATGAGTAAATCAATGTCTTCCTTATATCGCCAAATATTATACACAAATGAAATTAATAAGTTTTTGTAAGTTTTTTTGCTGTTTTTAATTCTTGTTACTTAATCAACGTTAGTTGGTAAGTTTATTAGCCTGTGCAGACAAGGACTTTTGCCCGCGGACTTTTTTGTCCGCCATGATAGATCGCTTACTTCAACTGTATCGAGTAACGAACACGAGGTGTTAAAAGTACCGTGCACAAAAAGTCCACATTAGCGGAAATTTTTTTTTCGAGATTCAGGAACTTTTGTCCTCCGCGGACACGTCGCTCGTCTGCGCAGGCCATATACATGACAGGTGATAAATATTCTTGTAACGCCCTGGGATGATAGGGTTACAGGCAGTGTTTCCACTATGAGGGGAAATTCCCCTTTTAGGGGGAGATTAGGATTCAGAGGGGAAGAGAAAAGGGAAAGACATAAAAAGGGGAAATTGCGGGAAATTATGGGTAAAGCCTAGCCTAAAATAATGCGGCACGGAACAAATTTTTTATGGACTATACCATGGGCTAGAGATTAGGACCTTTTTTTTCTTTAGTTACTACACTTGTGCCAAATCTAAAAACTACAGCAGAATAATTTTTGAGGGGAAAAATGTCCTAAGAAGGGGAAATCTGAATTGAGGCGTGGGGAAAGGAAATCATTAAAATGGAAACACTGGTTACAGGTATAAAGAGACTGATTTTCGTTTTTTACACTATACCTGGGAAATCATTAGCTACAAATTTGTTGATGATCAAACTAAAAAAAATATTTTTCAAGTTCTTTATGGAAACAAATTGAACACATTATTTCTTCATTTTTATCCAAAGAAACTATCATTTTTTTAAGTATTTCATTACAAAAATAACTTTTAAAAGTCAGCACTCAATGTAAACACACACACATACGAACGCTGCATTTCAATGATTCAACTTAGCTCGCTGTCTGTTGCGCGCTATACATTGTGTGGCTCTGTTTGAAGTTAATTTTTTAAGTGTTCTAGAGGCTCCAGACGGAGAGGTATCTCCCTTGTGGGGAGATGCCATCCGCCTGGAATACCTCTAGAGGCACTCGCCAATTCTCGGCTTGAGGTCCCCTTAGGATCTCGCCGTCCCCAAACCCGGTGACGCTGTAAAGGTCATCTGCGACCAACAGCATGTATACACATTAAAAAAAAAGTTTTTTTTTACACCAAAATATAAAAATCATTTCCTAGCAATATTTTTTTGCCCAGTTACTTATTTTGATGTATAGAATGTGTTTGCTTCGGCTGTGTCGAAGGTCTTTTTACATTCTGTATATTATTTCGTATGGGACACCTCCCCAAATTATTAAGCGTCATTACATCACATATAAAGGTTCACGAAATATTTAAGAAGTTGTATGTAGTGCATATATCTCAGTTATTTCATTGCTGCCGTTCGGCTTACTTTATTAATAGAGATTATTATACAGATCAGTATTCAAATGCATTTTCTTAAAATATTTTTTTTTTTAAGTTTTTGTGGTGGCCTATTATATCTTAAAAAATGGTGCTAATATGAAAAGGAATTCTTTTTGAGATTGTCGATGTAAACATTGATTGCTAGTTGACAGGTTTTTTAGTGGTCATTTATTATCACTTTAGTGATAATTTCTTTTGAAGGCTAAGACCTAACGACGTGTTTTTTTCCCGCGCCCAGTAGAATGTCAAATTGTAGTTAGAACGCAAAAGCAAAAGTCACGGCGCGATTTTCTCCCGCGTCGCCGTGTTTGCGGCACGGTAAAATTATCTATACAGTATTGTGACTCGGCCCTGTCCTTGAAATAACTGCCTACGGCCGAGCGGGGCGTAACAACGCGGTAGGGCTGCCCGCCTACAGTATTTTAATTTCATCTACATAATTGAGTTTCTTTCTAGTTTTGTGATTGTAAATATTTTATTTCATATGTAAAAAAAATGTTGTGAATGAATTAGGAAGTGTTACATAAAATACATGTTATTTTAAGTGTAATATTTAAAAAAAAATATAGATTTGAGACAGAAAAATATTTACGCCTCGACTGAGACGTACGAAAAGCTTTATTATTAAATTTAATAGTATAATAAATACGCATTCGAATAAAAAGTTTAATTATTGAAGCAACCAAAAACAGCACAATATCGACTATTGCTCTTTGTCATATTAAATTATGTAGGTATCTACTTAATTCAATAAAATATTTACCATACAAACGTTTCAGCATGGCTAACTGCTTAAAAAACAATTGACACCGTTCGGTCGTCGCTGCGGCGCATTCGCGACTGGATGCCCACCGGGTGCCGCGCGAACTCGAGTGGCGTAGGTATGACACGCTTACCGACCGTTTGTTTGATGATAGAATACTGTATAGATACTATTACCGTGTCTGCGGCACCGCAAGTTCAGTAGAATTTTAAATTGTAGGTAAAACGCAGAAGCGAAACCTGATTTGAGCTCGTAGACGCGGCGGGTCTTCGGTTTATATGCGGGTGACCAAAAGGAGCGTTCAGTACCGTGAGCACGAACCATAATTGAATTCGATCTAGATAATACGTCAAATGTCGTCCGTTGTGGCGCTACTGTTCAAGTTTCCATAAAAATTTTGACAATGAGATTTCGCACTCGCAAACTATTCGAATTCGATAATGGTTCGTGCTAAAGGTACTGAATTCAAAGTCCTGACATGTTTTTTGCAAAAACTGTGGTCTCGTGAGTTTTGAAATTAAACAAGTTTCCCGCTGCCGCGGCAAACGCGGGAGAAATTCGCGCCGTAAGTTCTAAGCCGAACATTTTTTTTCGTTACTAGGATTTATATACGTAAGGAAAAAATTTGTATGTATTATTTTATTAACGACGACTTTATTTTGAAATCCTAATTGTATAAGTACTTATTTCATTTTATTACTATAAGTTTCATAATGTGCATTCAACATCAAATCCTTTTATCCATCCAAAAATAGCCAAATTCTACAAATGATATAAAAAATATGTTAAAATATATAAAGAAAATATATTAATGCAATACCTACGTATCGAATCAGATTTTTTTTGCCTTGTGATCTGCTGTTTGTCGTAATTACGTTTGCAAGTTTATATTTTAAACCGTGTTATTTATTGTAATTTCGAATAACTTTATAAATACATATAAATAATTTTAAAAAATTATAATACCCATTTCATGGAATATATCATTACAAAAAACAAGTTTTCTGTTTTGTCTATATCACATTTACCCACATGTTACCCCCTGTTCCATATATCCCACCTTTGTGACACCTTTACTTAAAAATTTTTTCAATGCCATCTATCGAAATACTAAAGTAGCTCGACGTTTAACAGTGATTTTAGGGTTTTGTTTATTGTTTCCATCACCGGTCATTCGCCAAAAATTAAAATAAGGTGTCAAAATTAAAATTATTTGCGGTCAGTGCAAGTTTGAATATTAGGGCGAAATCACGTAAAGGTTAATATTAAATATTGCTATTTTTATCTTGTCTGTCACTCCTTTGATATATGGCCTGCACGAAGAGTTGGAGTATGTACGGCGGGTCCTACAGAATAATGGATACAAGGGACAGTTTCCACCCAAACACAAATTGAGGCACCAGACACACAAAGTAGGCAGGCAACCAGTATTTTTGCCATATATCAAAGGAGCGACAGACAAGATGTCGAACATACTTAATAAGTACTCACTGAATACTGTCTCTAAGGAGTGATCCTTTACAAAAAAGTGCATGACAGACCCACCATACCCCTGGGGGTAGGGTGGGACTGAACCATACCACCGTTGTAGTGCTGGGATTTTATGGAAAAATACAATAAAAATAGATACCTAACATATACAAATATTTAGTCCGTTCTGGCAAAACCTAAAAATATAACAAATACTTATTTTGTTATTTATCTTAAACAGAAAAACTTAAAAGAAGTTAATCTATGTTCTTAATTTGTCTAACGCATGCCCAATGGTGATTTCGTTGTGCACTAACTGCATTTGGACTTCTGTTATAAAATCATCATTCATCATTAATAAATTGTTCCGCTCGACGTTTTTTAGGACTTAACTAACTTTATTTTATGAATATTGTAAAGAACATTGACCAGTCGCATTAAAGTAACTGTATTCTTATTTAGAATTTTATTCAATTTTAGGTACCTACGTATTATTCGGAAAAACAAAACCTGAAAGCATATAGTGCACAGCACTACGGTGGTATGGTTCAGTCCCACCCTACCCCTGGGGGTATGGCTAGGGGTATGGTGGGTCTGTCATGCTATATATATGCTATATTTGCTGTGCCCTGTTCAGGGTCTACAATGATCAAATCAATGTACCTTCTAAGATCTAACAATACAATGTAGAACTCAATAAAGTATTAATTGATTGATTCATTGAGAATCTTTGGCTTATTACAAATATTCTTGAGTTTCTGTGTTCTAGGGTTCACACTAGGTTAGGTTAGTGTTGTGACCATAACGCGTGAGCCGAGCGAGCGCAGCGAGCGTGGCCCGGCGAAGGGCCAGAAAAACAATTCGCTAATAGAAAGATTGCGCCATGTCACCGCCATTATCTAATTATCCGCTTTTTCGTAAAAACAAATTCGATTTATCAAATCATCCCACGATATAATATAGACATCTGATCAATATGTCATCTATAGCATAGTGCTCTCTGCTCAATCGATTCTGATACATTTTGGTAAGGTGATAAAGGGGAACTTGGATAAAGACGTATTCCATCTAGGTTGCTTTTGATCGTGTGCACAAACCTCGAACCCTGCGTCCGTCCATCCGTCCGTCAGTTGGCTGTATCCCATGAAGCAATATATGGTAATTACTTGAAATTTTCACAGAATGTGTATTTCATCTATTGATATTATATTGGCAAATAAAACAATTAAATAAAATTCAAAGACATGTTTTTTTTACGTTTTAATTTCGACGTATTGTTTATTATTGTATAATGGTTGTAAAGACGATTTGTGTGCGACCGCTACTCGCACACGGCGCGCTTTTTTCTATTTAATGATTATTCGGATTGAATCTTAGATTAAAACAAAAAGGGAAGATACGGCACTCGCGGCTCAAAAGTGAACCGTTTAAATTGCGTTGTATGACCAAGTTACCATAATTCGCTTTAGTCACAATTGGACATTCAAACATGCGCAGTCAATATAAGAATACCGCGTATATTGCGTGTTATAAAGATAAAACAATGCCTTCGATGCTTTTATAAAGAACACAAATAGTTCAAATACAAATTAAAAATGCCACGGCAACACTTTTCATTCGTAGCTCTGTTAAAAAAAAATCGCAAAAATTACGGATTGTCGTGAATCTTTTGTACATAATCGCCATTTTCTTATCAAGAAAAGGGCAACGAAACAGCTCAGCTGTACGGACTCGGAAGCGGACTCGCCATTTCGCTCGCGCTGCGTTCAAGCGTACAGTTCTGTCTCGCTCGCTCGATTGAAAGTTTTTTTTACTTATGTAGTTGAGTCGGGTCATATTTTATTTGATGCTAATATGAGCGTACCGTATCTTCCCTTTTTGTTTTATTCTAAGGATTGAATGCGGTTTTAGGGTTGGTGATTTCGCAGATGAATGGCAGCCATTCGTCACAGCTGATGTCGTTGAGTCCGCTGTTGTCTCTGAGGAGAGTTCCGCAGCGTTCGTGGTTGCCACTGGGCTCGCCAGCTGCCCAATTTGAATAACCTGCCTCCTCGATACGCCTACCTGAAAACACTTATTATAAAACTAGCTGGTCAGGCTAAGAAGTCTGCCCCACCTAATGTTTTAGGGGTTTCGTGCCAAAAGGGTACAAACTAGAGATGCCACGAATAGTTCTTTGGCCTAATACCGACTATTCGGCGCGGCTCTCCGCTTGGCCGAGTATTCGGCAAAACTTTGTACTCTCGGCGGGTGACAGGTCATTTACGAGTTTAAACTTGCATCACTGAAATAGTAGGTAGGCGCATGTAGTTTTGCTTCTTTTTTTAAAACAACAAATTTTATTGCATTTTTCCGCTATCGACAAATGCTAAAAAAATGGTTTCATTCATCATAACTTACCAATGATAGAATTTTAAATATTAATATATTAATTTGTTGGTTATATAGGGTTTTTCAACAAGAACTTTGTTATCTAAAACAAAATAAAACAAAAAAAATTGATGAAGATGATTAAATTTTTTATTGAATTACATAGAGAAAAGTTCGGCAATTAATGAAAAATGATATCTGGCAAATGTCCACTACGAGCACGCTGACAGATGTCGATTCTTTCATCAAAGTTTTTAATCACTGATTGGCAAAATGGCGGGACAATGTCGTTAATCACATCACGGATTTTGAGTTTTAAGGCTGCAATTGATTCGATTGGCCCCGTATAGACTCTGTCCATAACATAACCCCACAAAAAATAATCTAGTGGTGTTAAATCACATGATCTGGCTGGCCACTTAACAGCTGAGTTTAGTGAAATTATGCGATCGGGAAATTTGGTTTGCAATTAATTGATTGTTTCATTGGCTGTATGACATGTGGCGCCGTCCTGTTGAAACCACCGCGATGCTTTCAGTTGAACGACCCGGTTGTACACGCGTTGGTGTTGGCACATTTTGTATCGAGCCTGTCGACTCAAATTTAGCGACCAAATTCTTAATAGCGGTCTCAGAAGGACGATTATGTTGTCCGAAAATATCACAAATTTGACAAAATGTAACTGTAACAGAACCACTATATTTATAATGGATTTTAATTATTTTAATTCGATTTTCAAGCGAAATTGAATTCATTGTAACAATTGCCAATGCATCTACTACGAATACGTCAAAAAACTAAATGTCAAAACTCTCATATTGTTGGTGTCGCCACAATTGAAAAACAAAGTTTTTGTTGAACAACCCTGTAGAAACATCTTTGTGAGTAATATTTTGAGATTCATTTTTTATTAAATATTGTTGCAATCAGACTTATGCCTGTTTTCACAATTTCAAATAGTCTATATTCTGGTATGGCCTGCCTATTAATACCTCATGTTCATTGAAACGATACTGTTTGACTTTTTATTCCTTTTTAATTTTTAATGCTATATTTTTTGGTTTTGTGTCTCTTCTTATGTATAAGGTGCTGATAAAATGAGTAAGGGTTTTGCTTTAAGCTGGCACAGGTGAGGATGGCTGAAGTGGCACATTTTTCTTAATCTATTATGTTAAGAAAATTTTTGTGTCCAGGTTTTTTAAGTAAAATTTTATTTGAACAAATAACAATCAAAAGTTCAAAATATATAATAAACTACTTTACCCAGCGAACTTCGTACTGCCATAAAAATAAGGGTTGGTGGTAGAGGGGTAAAAATTTAGGGTTATATGTATTTTTTGTGTTTCAATTGTAAAAAAAATGAAACAAAAAATTTTTGTCCTTAATAAAATTAAAGGTGAACTACCCTTAACATTTAGCGGGATGAAAAATAGATGTTATCCGATTGTCAGACCTATAAAATGCATATAAAATTTCACGAAAATCGGTCGAGCCGTTTCTGAGTAGTTCAATTACACACACCGTGACACGAGAAATTTATATATTAGATAAGTATGGAACTTACCATCAAGCGTGAACCAGTAGGCTCGGTCGACGTCAATATTGTGGAAGCCTATGTAGTAGAACCTGTGCGAGCTCGATGCATCATCACCGTTGCAGTTGACAGGGCGCTTCGAGTAACTGAAGAAAACTTAAATAACTCATTTGATGACGACATTTATCAAGATATAAATTTGATTTTTAAGCATGTAACTGCTCGATGTTTAAATTCCACGACGAAAAAATTCCACGCGGATCAGGCAGCAGACGGGACTCGAACCCGCACCCTTCGCTATCCGGGCGAATGCACTGACCATTATGCTACCGCGGCTCTGATGGTCGCGTCGAATTCATTCTAGCTATGTTTATTTATGTTAGTAACCTGGGAAACGAAAGACCTGAGTCTTTCTTGTAATTTGATGTACATACCTACTATTAACCTGTAGCTGCATTAAAAAAAATACATTAATTTGTTTATTAAAAATAGTGATGTTCACACACTTAATACAAGAAACAAAAAGAAACTAACTTTACCTGCTACTAGGCTTCACAAAATTTATAATTCATTTAAAGTTCTTTGTGTTCGCTTATACAATAAAATCCCAAGCAATATCCAACAGTTAACCCTAAACAAATTTAAAGATAGTATAAAAAAAGCACTTATTAAAAAAACTTATTACAAAGTGTCTGATTATATTACAGACAAAAATGCTTGGGTTTAAACTGTTCCAATCATTCCAACAGGTTTTCTATATCAAATAAATCATAATTGTATTGACGTTGTAAAAACAAAATGATTTGTAAATGTTATTACATTAGACTTTAAATGTTGTGGAGTTTTTTCGCTCGTTTTTCTCCGCAGCTAAAAAATATGTAAATAACGAGTGGTAGGGGAAAAAAATGTTAGACGATTTAAGAGTTGTACTATACATCCAATTTGAATAAATATATAGTGATTTCTGATTTCATGATAAAGAGGTTGTATCAACACCACCCCTCAAATTACAAATTAAAGATTCAAAAAACTTAGCATTGCAAAATGACTTTGTCAGTATGTCAGCCAACATATCATCAGCGGGAATAATTGTTATCTTGACTAGAACCAGTTCTACACATTCTATTACAAAATGCACTCTTATGTCAATGTGTTTAGTACGACGGTGTGCAATTGGGTTCTGTGCTAGTTTTTTAGCACCCTGGTTATCTGTACCTATGTTAACCACACATACATCTCGGAAAAGAACAAACGAGACGAAAATACAGCTTCTTCGCAAGTCTCCGATAGGGCAACGTACTCAGCTTCGGTTGACGATAGCGAAACACACAGATACAAAAAAAGTGTAAAAACAAAAATTGTAGCTCCTATAGTTACCTACAACTTTGTCATTTAATTTTGTTCGATAGGTGTTTTAGTTTTCCCGAAAATCACGATAACACTGTTTTCCCTTTTAAAGGTCACCCCCGACCCTTCCTCTTTTTCAACATGTTCTTTTTCCTTTTAGCAGGTATGTGTTTCATCCTCATCCTCTTCCGAATGTCGAAAATCGCCGTAATTTATTTAGCCTCTTTTTCAATGTGATCTTTTTGCTTTTAGCAGGTACGGGTTTTATCCTGTACCTAATTTCGAAAATCGCTGTAATTTATTTAGCCTCTTTTTCAATTTGTTCTTTTTTTCTTTTTGCAGGTATGGGTTTCATCCAGTCTCGAATTTGTTGCTCTCAAAAATTATCGGCCCTGACCTATTATCCTAGATGCATATTTAATTATATTAAAATTTCAATGCGAGTTTTCCAATCGGGTGTTTAGACAAATAAATCTACTTTGAAGATACGTAATTTAAACGGATAAATAATTCCTTAAAGGTACCTATGGTATGTATAAATGTGCGCCGTTTATAGGATACTTTGTAAATGATATAAATCTTTATTTTTGTATGGGGGTTTAGGTTTACTGTTTCTAACTCAGTAACACAGATAACTCGAAATTCACGGTTTATCAATCAAATAACTTTCGCATCACATCTTCCTAGATTTACTACTTATACTCATACTATGCACCCTTTATAGTCCGGTCAAATTAGCTTCAAAAATAGGGGTAAGGTTACATTAATTCGCACCTACCTGAAAATTGGCATGAATGTTGGGAACCCTATGTATTTGTAACGTGTGTATTTTTAATTATCCACATGAATCCAAAGTGTGGAAAAAAAAATATTCAAGGTCAAATGTTGCAAAAATCGTTTTTTGAGTTTTCCAGCTAAACGGTAAGTTTTATTATAAAAATAGGTGAGACAAAAATTATTCATCATGTAATTATGTATAAAAATTGTTCATACACTTTTTTTCCTAAGAATCACCATTTCGGAGATATAGCGATGCAAATTTTTGAAAAAGTTGTATTCTTCATACATAATGTATGTCAGTTACTGTTATATACGTTACAGAATGATAATATTTATAAGCTACTACTCTACTCCACAAGCTGTAATCACTAACGGAATTCGCTTTCTTCTTTCCGTTTACGGAGCTCCAAAAAAAATTACATGCTTAGATAAGCTTCGATACTTATCTTTTGCTAAAAATACGCATAAAAAAACAAGTACAATTAGTTTGTCTTCCTCCAATCTCTGCTTCTGCTTAGCAACATCTATTTCGGGTATATTATCAAGTTCAAGTATAGCTGAAGACTGGGGTTGGAAGTTAAATGACAATATATTGGAACCAGTTAAGACTTTACTTCCTCCTGCACCGGAAAAACTAATCAATTAAAATTTTTGCAATTGTAAAACGGGGTGTAATGCTAAATGCAGCTGTAAAAAAGTTGGGTTGTTTTGTTCATTAGCATGTATCAGTTGTCGAGCCCAATCGTGCTCCAATGTTCAATCGCCAGTAGAAGAGGATTTTTACGATATATGCGAGGGACATCTGATGCATCGCTCTTTGAACAAATTATTTGTACCCATCAGGAAGAAGAAGAAGAAGGAGAAGAAGAAGAACAAGACAGTATGGATTATGTTCCATTAGAAGAGTATCAATCCGACGAATAATTTTCTCAAATTACTCATTACTTACACCACTCTTGTCATTACAATAGTACCATTTTCAATTTAATACAATATATAGCTTTTAACTCAACAGAACCACAATAGATCGTGGAAAAAAGTGTATGAACAATTTTTATATATAATTGCATGATGAATAATTTTTGTCGCACCTATTTTTATAATAAAACTTACCGTTTAGCTGGAAAACTCAAAAAACCGATTTTTGCAACATTTGACCTTGAATATTTTTTTTCCACACGTTGGATTCATGTGGATAATTGACAAATTGTGTGTAATAGGGTTCCCAACATTCATGCCAATTTTCAGCTAGGTGCGAATTAATGTAACCTTGAATGTCTATTTTGACCGGACTATTATGCAGAGATTTCTTCAGTTGCATCATATCCAGGTCCTAACTAACAATATGGGCTCATACTATGCACTCTTTTTGCAGAGACACCCTCAGTTGAATTATATTCAGGTCCTAACTTAGAATATGGGCTCAGTTGAAATTTCAACTAAAACAATTATTGAATTTAACTTTGAGCATGGCATTGGTCGTACAATAACTAAAGATGTTACCCACATTCAAAGATTTAAATAGTTACTAAGATGTTGCCCATTCTTCTTCATTCTTAAATGAATTGCATAAATATTTTTGGGTTCTAAGTTGAATACCAGTGGTATACACCCCGGCAAATTTCTTAAGCATCATCCATGGACCTGCATTGTAGCAATTTTACAAAGCAAAACATCTAGCGTCTTTAATTGTTTAAGGTTTTGCTCGAGAAGTTTGTCGCTACCTAGACTATTCAATACCGGTCAAACATCAGTTGCGCCTCGCGGTCGTTGTTCAGTATGACGAGGTGACCACCTTCCGCGGAGCACACCATGTGGGCGCGGTGCCACACCACACAGTCCCCGTGGTACTTGTAGCAACTGTTGGACACCGGGTCCAGCTCGTAACCTACACGAAACCACTTCAAAAATAATAGCACACGTAATAAATAAAACGAACATATATTTAATTAGTGCCTGCGACTTCGTCTATGTGGAATAATTGTTTTCCCATCACTTGTCACCGCTTTAAAGGGTGATTTTTAGGATAAAATGATGAATGACAAATCCTCCCGGGGCTCAAACTAACGCTACACCAAATTTCGTCTTAAGCGGTTCAGTGGTTTAAGCAACATCTTGTGAAGTACTCCTACCATATCTGATCTTATATTCTTCTATTTTTTCCCACTCCCACACCATGCAAACCGGCAGATTAATGTTTTTCCGTCTCAGACACGTTACGTCAAACGTCCAGTAGCTTCTATTCAAAAGACTGACGATATGAACGAGACCAAAAGTCATGGCCGATTGTTGTTTTTTTTGCTGCCCTAGACGTTAGATCTATATAAACGGCTCATGTATGGTGGGAGCACTTCACAGGGTGCAAGGTTATCCCAAAATCCTCGCTTGGGCTCCACTAATATTCCTTCCTATTCCATCTACAGGCAAGGCATCCCAACAGTGGAGATATTATTAAATTGTAGAGAATGGTAATGTTGAAAGATACACATAACATGCATCAGCAACTTTTTCAGTTTTAATGTCTATTGTAATGAAGTGATGAGATCATTCTTAAACCTTAAATTAGGTCAGATCTATTCGTCGTATGACAAGTCCTGTTGTACCAATGTCATTTCTTATTTCTGGACCATGTGAAAGATGTGTTTCTCAGCAGTGGGGTATTAATAGGAGATGATGATGTTTTTAGATAAATAGGTACACCTATTTTCGAGCAGGTCGTATGATAATTTTTTGGCTCGTTATTATTGTTTATCCTCAATAATATAGTGAATGATCACCAGAAAACTACAATTGGTAAGCCATTGGTTAGGTTACCGACCAGTTTTTTTTTGAAGACCATTTAAATACTTTCGTCCTGTTTTTCAGAAAACACGCGCTTTCACTACACTTCAGGAGCTCGATGGCGCAGGTGATAAGCGTGTTCGGTTGGGATCTTTGATGTTAAGCAACTTTCGCAGCGGTCGCTCGTTTGCCGTTAAGCCGTTGGTCCCGGCTGCATCGGCAGTCGTTAGCAACCAACAATCCGCACTGGGCGCGCGTGGTAGGTCATGGCCCAATCTCCCCATTCCATCCATAGGGAAGGCCTGTGCCCTAGCAGTGGGAACATTAATAGGCTGATGATGATGATTTTACCTTCGTACAATTACATAATAGTATAGCTAGAACGTCTTCACTAAAGAAAAGAACCAGAGCTGAAGATAATACTATAGTTTACCTTTGGCGTTAGTTCCACAATCACTGGATATACTCTCATTGCCAGTTTTTGGTTTGTAGCATATGTAGGGGAGTATGTTAGATGACTTGACGTCAGCAAAGGTCCCGTCCGGGAGTATTGCCAGGCTGCGCTCTGTATTATTCAAGTTGTTGGGCTCACCTTTTGCCCACTGTATGGGCATCTGGTCCAAGGCAATGCCTAAAAATGCACCCATAGATTAATATTTTCTGAGTAAATTTTAGGATAGGCACATATTTCCATTAAAGTAGATGAGGCATGTGCTTTAAATTGTATGAAACACGAGAACACACGAGCGTATAATATTTGACAACAAATTAAATAAGCAAAAAAATGGGTCTCAGCCATTTTTTTCAGATACTCTTTGAAGACTGATTTTGAGGTACTGATGCAAACATTATTATAAAAAGGTGATGAGGAAGTTACAACAAAAAAATGTTTATAATGCTATTAAAAATTGAAAATTTAATAATAGTTCTGTACAATAATCTACATTTTTGATATTATCTTATACCCAACATTGTAGGATTTCCTGGGAGGAGGCGCTGGAAGATATGACGCAGTTTATACTAGTATAGCTGCCAACGATAACCTCTTAAAATGTTCTTGCTCAACCTCTGTAACTTCTTTGTTTAGTTAATTTTTGAGAGAATATTGTAAAAACCATGAAAGGCAATAAAGCATTTATTATTATCTGTATATCTAATAATAATAAATGCTTCCAAGAGCAACATTGAATGCACTTCATGCAGATGCTGTTCATATAATGGGCTTAGGTGGACTCTTTAACGGACTTGACAAGTAAGTACATAATGTCATTGGTTGAGAAATAGTAGAAGGAAATATTAGAATGAAACCTTCAATGGAATAGTAGTCGCCAGCTGTATCCATCATGTGTACTCCAGTGAACACCGGCCCAGACTGCACCAACATCAGGCTTCTCATCACGGCGTACACCCGATCGTTGATAGGGGATGCCAAGTTCCCACCTAAGTATTTGAAAATTAATGTCATGTATAGCAGAAATATAGATCCCACCTAAAACATTCTGTAAAAAACTAGCCAAGTCTCGATGGAGCTGCTTGTTTATCTCTAAAAAGTAATGAAATCTAGACAAAGTCGTGCCAAGTCTAAGGTTCCTTACTGCGATTTCTTTATTATTATAGTTAATGTTGTGTGACTTGGCCGATGAAGGGTACACAAGGGTACAAAACCAGGTGCTACATGATACCATTATTATATAGCTCCATCGAGACTTGGCTAGTTTTTTACAGAATGTTTTTTGGTGGGATTTCACTTCTTTTTGTAGAAACGTGGGCGTATTGATTTGTTTTATTAGATTTTCTTATTTGACACATTTTTATCTTTTTAGGAGTAGTCTTTTTATTATTACAAATCTTTCTTTTTTTCCGGTTCTGATTCTTGAACAGTATTTCCATTCGCGTTATTTATTTATTCTTTTAGACGGTTTAATTTCTGAAAGATCGGCACGGTATTTACGCCTAAGCCGGTTGTATTCGGTGATCGCTGAAGCTTGAGCTTTTATTTGAAGTCAACATTTATGAGGTGCACCCTATGAAGATTGGTTACTCGCAAAAGCGCCACGTAGGCTTGGCCACAAGAGAATATGGAGGTGCCAATGTCCATGAGGGCATTTTTTAGACTTAGACCTTCGTATCACCGTCACTCTTAGTCCAATGCATTAAATTTTGACCATATTTTGAGCGAAATTAATATTTTAGTGTAATTTGTTTATTTAATTTGTGTAATGTTCGAGTAGAATTAAGTTAATCGTTCGACTATTTTTTCTTGTAAACTCGTAAGTATAAGTTTAAAAGCCAGTCCAGTGTTATCCAAAGCTTTCTTTTAATTTTAAAAAAGTAGAAGGGGAGGCATTCACCCAGTAGTGGGACGCTATAGGCTAGATTAAATTAAAAGATGTGTCTCACTACACTGGATTTTTGCAATGACAGTCGATATTTTGTGTACCAATAGTAGAAGGGGGCATTACCATATCTCTAATACAGCTGAGACCAGCTGAGAGTTCTTCATCAGATACTTCAGACCTTCGATTTTTGACATCAAATAAAGCGGCCCACCAAGTTGAATATCTTTTGTAAAGGCGGTATGTCGATCTCTACTAATAGTTTGGTTGGGCTCTTGTGTTTTCTAATCAGGGTCACCAGGTACTCCAGATCTTCGATTATCCTAGTTTTTATAGTTTTCCCTTTATGTGGCCATTAAACCCTGACTCTGTACCAAATTTCAGCTCTCTGAGTTTATGAGAAGTACTAGTTCTATTCTGATGATCATGAGTGAGTGAGTGAGTGTCATAAATGCGAAACTTTGCTTAACTTTGGAACTAAATAACCTACAGACTTGAAATTTTGGATTTTAAGGATGTTATTATAGCTTACTAGATGACGAAAATTTCTGCGTTCTGGTCTTATCCAAAGGTTCTCAAATTGGGACCTAAAATGCGGCGAAATGGTTCCAGTAAAGGATTGTACGGCAGTGTTTGCTTCGCGCTCGACTTGGCGGGGGCACTGCCGTGCCCCCCGATTGGGCATTTTTGAATTGTGTTGGACAGGATTTGAATTTTCAAAATGAAGCACGATTTCTCAATAACTCTTCTATACCCAACCGAGGTCGACATAGTATGATTACCGATATGATTCAGCGATTTTTTGATATTCAATTATCAAATCTATAGTTTGTACCTCATGGCCCTCAGGTTATATTCGCATATTCGCCCCAAATTTTCAGCTTCCTACCACCAATCCCTATTTTTAATAGCGACATTAGTATTTTTACTTTCATCCGCAGATGGCAATACGAAGTTTGCTAGGTCAGCTAGTAAGAATATAAAAGATCATCAAAATTCTTATTTGCTATTAAGAAGCACCACTCAGTTACCTTCGAAATAACATTTCAGTCTTGCTTCGTTCCAATCTGTGGGCACCTTGTGAATTTTAAACCAAGCCCTGGTCTCTGGGTAGTACGTATAGTCTTGTCGGTATTGGCTGTAAACTAATTGAGTTTCATATTAAAAGTTGTCAGATAAAATTATTGTGTTTGAACACATGTCTCATTATGCATTCTAGGTTGGTTTTGTTTAGGCCGATTTAGCCGACACAACGAAAGTTCCGACGTGAAAGTGATTTCGTCTCGAAAGTATTTTCACTGTTTTGGAACACACTACGAAAATGTTATGTATAAAATATCTTTTTCATGAGGCAAAAGATCTTCCCATCGTCCAAGAAACCCAACCCCGTTTAACCAATTTACAACACAAATCGTCGATCACAATTTCGTTGGTTGAAGAAGACATACCTTTAATATTGACGGCACAAGCCCAAACACAGAATACGGAGACGATACGTCCAATCGATAAGTGACCCATTGTATATTCTTCCAAACTATAAGTAATTCACTTTATTTTTGCATGAGTGTCCACCTAAAGTCGTTAATCAGATAGATCCACTGTTTCTTTTAGGAACCTGATAAAAAAGAAGTTTACGTTAACACAGGCAGAAACAGTAAAGGAGGTAGCTAATACTAGGGTATAACTTGAGTAGTTACATATTTCGCTATATACCAGAACCAGTCTGCATTGCACGGCTCCTGTGATGTGTGGTGCCACTGATGCGCCGGGGAACCGCAGATCTGGGTGGGTCCAGCAACGGACAATCACCGTCGGGGCCGCGGAGTACTTCGTTCTCACGATTTTAACCCGCACTGGGGGTTCTCGGTCCTCAGAATGCGTGTCGGGTGACAGGTGCAGGAGTATTTTTAGTTGTTACTGGGTAGGGCCCTGCTCATTTCATCGAGCTTGCGGTCTGGGTGAAACGAGTAGGAAGGAGTCCACAGATACTGGTCCACGCTCCCGGAGGCGAAGAAAGGCGTCAAGCCTTTTCCAGAAATGAATTAAAAAGGTAGGGCTGCTATTACAGACCTACCTACTTTTAAGTAGATGATGCGTGGACCTCCGGGTCAATGAAGCATCCCAGCTTTATGAGGCGAAGCGAGGGAAACCCTAGGTTAAGGGGGAGAAAGGTGGAGAAAAGGGTGTCCTTCATGGAATCGGACTCGCAGAATGATAGGATTTGAATGTTTGGAAAACGAGGAGGAGGATAGCAAACTGGCAGAAGGTCTTGTGAAGATCTATACAGATGGCAGCAAACTGGAGGAAAAGGTGGGAGCCGCCCTGACCTGTTGGAAAGGGCAGGCAGAAGTCCTTTCCCGAAAGTTTAAGCTGGAGCCATACTGTACAGTCTTCCAAGCCGAGCTGTATGCTATCCTCCACGCCACGGAGAGTGTGTTAGGGAAGGGATGGAAGGAGGCCGCCGTGCTTAGCGACTCGAGGTCCTCTCTCCAGTCGCTAGCAGATCCAGACTCCTCGCATCCGATCACCAAGGCGATTCAAGGAAACCTGGCTCAACTTAGGGACAACGGACAAACCGGAAACGAGAGAGCGTATCAGACGGTGAAGGAGGAGGCCCTCGGGTTGAAGTGCAAATCGCACTATGACTGCTGTCCCATCTCTTTCGTCAAGCGACATGTGCGCGCAATGACGAAAGCGAAGTGGGACAGCAGGTATAGGAGCGAGGACACGGCGGCCACAACGAAGGCATTCTTCCCTTGCGGGGAGAATGCCTTCGGTGTCGTAAGAAAGATGGAAATTGACAGGATAGCTGCACAGGTCTTTACCGGGCACGGAGGTTTCTCCGCCTACCTCCATAGGTTTAAAAAGAAGGACACCCCTAGATGTGTTTGTGACCCTGGCACCGCAGAGGACATATTTCACGTCCTATTAGAATGCCCTCTTCACAACTTAGCTAGACACAATACACAAATGGTATTAAACACACATATTAGCAAGGAAAACCTAAGGGTAACAATGAAGGATAATAAAGACAGGGAGATTTTTATTAGATTCAGCAAAGAAATAGTTAAACAAGTCATAGAGAGGAATAAAGATGTTTAATATGGGTAAAATACCTATTAATATACACACGTAAATAGTATGTAGGATAAGGGAAAAAATATGTAATTAGATTAAGAAATATGTAAATATATATATGAATAAGTGAAATAAGTGTGCGTGTATGAATAAAATCAAATAAAAAATTGTATATATAAAAAGAAACAAGAAATGTAAAAAACCATATGAAACTTGTATTTGTTAAGAGCTGTCAGTTTTCGGTATTTATCTATATCTTCACAATTTATAAATGAACCTTAAACTAAGAACCTTCAAAAATATAACGTAATAACTAAAACTAAAAAAAAAACTTTAAAATATATAATAACTAAAATACATCACTAAAAGGAGTCCCTTTAGGCAAGGTTCCAAAGATACTGGCAGCGTTCCCCCTTTGAATAGCTAGACTAATTCTTTGTCCGAGGTAGCTGCCAGCTCTTCGGTCTCCTGTGACGTCGACCAACCTTTTTGCTATTTCCTTAAAAAGCCTTACAGCGCTAGGACCCCACGGACCAAGGGTCTCGACACCGAATGGGACAAAATCATATTCGGAGAAATGTAATAGAATATAAGAAAACATTGTAACAAGTATAAAAAAAGAAAATACACAAGTGCAAAAGAACAAGCACGAAAATACATACAAAAAAGCAAGCATGATATAAAAAAAGAAATATATTGTGTATGTCCCAAGCAATATCCAAGAGCCATAAATAAATTTAAAGATAGTATAACAAAAACACTTATTAAAAAAGCTTATTACAAAGTGTCTGATTATATTACAGAAAAAATGCTTGGGTTTGAACTGTTCCAATCATTCCAACAGGTTTTCTGTATTAAATAAATCATAATTGTATTGACGTTGTAACAACATAATGATTTGTAAATGTTGTTACATTAGACTTTTAACGTTGTGGAGTTTTTATCGCTCGTTTTCTCCGCAGCTAAAAAATATGTCTATAACGAGTGGAAGGGGCAAAAAAATTTGGACGATTCAAAAGAGTTGTACTATACATCCAAATTGAATAAAGATATATTGATTTCTGATTTCCTTGATTTTGTAATTATAAACTATAATTCTACAAAATTCGAAGCAAATAATATAAAGTTTTATATGTAAATCACCCTTTCCACAACCCTACCCTTATGTCGATAATGTAGCTTATAACCAAGGTCCCATTTATTTCTATAGGAAAACACATCATAATCGACTTAGCTATTAGGGCGCAAAAGCGTAACAAACAAACACTTTCGCATCTACAATATCATATTATACTGATGATGCGCCCCGGCATTGCACGGGCAAAATTTATTTTAACGGCATAAAATACTTATATAGGCCTATATTGCTGTCAATACTGACATGATTCTCTAAACCTAAAATTAAATTTGACAGCAGTGTATACTTGTTATTATCTATACAGAACGAAAAGGAGAGATTGAAGTTTAATTTAGTTTTAAGTTTAGAGAATCACGCCAGAATCGACACCATTGTGGAAGTAATGTTTATTCGAGCTTTACACTACCAATACAAAAGGGTAGTAGGGTAAAACTACAAAGATGTGTAAATCTATATATTGGGTGATAAATTTATAATAAATGAGTTTGCTATGGTGCTGTACCTAACGCTATGGAAATGATATTTGTACGTCTTTAATATAATCAAATATTATAAACTTTGCTTTGGTGATTGTATAAGTATTTAATTTAGCGATCTAAGGCAGTTGTCACCAGTGTCCAAAACAGCAGACGGGAATTGTTACTTTCGTAAACCTGCGACATTAACGTCGTTAATTAGTATTGTATACAGGATGATTAACAACGTTTGAAGTTAACATCTGGTATCCAAATAATATTTGGTTTCTGTGAATTATGTAGGTAAAGAAATATGAGACAATGATATGTATATATCACGATCTTAGAGCGACAATGCAGCCACTGCCAATTATAAATAAACGAATTTAATAAAAGTAAATGAGTCTTACATTTACTCCTAAAGTACTAAAAAGAACACATTAACCAAAAGATGACTTTTTCAATAAGTACGGAAAATAAGTACTCGTTAACTATATAATTTTCATGCATTAGAAATAATTAATAATAATAATAATTTTAGTATTAATTTCGTTTTATATAGATAACGACTTGATTTAACTTCACACATTTTGGCAAAAATTGAGGCCTATCCGTAGCCTTGACTCTGACGTCTCTATATGTCTTAATAAATCAATCGGTTAGAGGTATCTACTTTATAATCCTTACGAAACTGACAAGACTGCTGTAGTGTATACCTATCGGAAACGTAATTAGGTCATGTCGCAATCCGCTATTTACGTAGATAGTTTTAGCAAGTAAGCAATATTATTAATTCAATTATTTTGTAATGTTTTATTGCACTCAATAAACGGACTTCAAACTATAAACTATGTTTCCTTAAATAACCAACGATAGGCTAATATTAGATGGCGACCCTTGCCATTCGAATCGTGTAATATACTTCCACCAAGAACTCAGTCAAAAGAAGACCAAACCTATTTCCAAAAAATTCAGAATCCGTATTTTTCAAGAATACAAGATAAACTTCAGAAGAATTAAGACTACAAGAGATTACAGAAGAAACAGATAATGGGAAAATCGGCATCCAAAGAACAAGTTGTGATAGCTCAAAACGCAAATGGAGCAGCTTCGGCAACAGCATCCCAATCCCAGAGCGAAAAATTGGCTATCCTAGAAATTTTGATCGGAGCGACCGTCTGCTAAATCCTGTTTGCTGCAATTTATTACATTTTCAAGAAATGCAATAAACATTTTGTTCGCACCATACAACGAGAGCTCAACAGGAACAACATAGCCACCATCTCACGAGCTGACCTCACTACCAGCGCAGTCTAAGAAGTTTAACAAGAGAAGTCCAGGATTCAGCCCGGCCAACGTCGGTCATCATCGGTCATCGGCAGCCAGTCATATCACCGTATCAGCACCACTGCAGCCAGCTCGCCTGCCCCAGTCCCTCGGAAGAATCTTAGTAAAAAGGTGTATCTTGAACAACCAAATTAAAAAATATGTAATCATATATTTTTTTTTAACTATTTTTATTTTCAATTTATCGTTATGAAGCACGTACTTAATGTTTTTATTGTTTTTAGTTTAGATAATTATGTCAGGTGTAGTATTTGAAATTCATGAACTACATAAATCATTAGTATATCTTAGAGATTATTTAGTTAAATTAGGACCTAAAGGAAGGCAACAGGACCTTGGTTTGAAAAAAGTTAAAGTGGCAAAAGTTTTGTATTCAAAGTTGGAGAGTATTTTGTCTGTGTTGCATTCTCAAATTGAAACTGAACAGATTTCTACTAGTGATATAACTTCCATCCATAAAATAATAAATGAAATTCATCAAATTTTTAATAAAATTATAGAGTTATCAATTTCTGAGCAGAAACAAAGTGAAATAGTCAAAATGAGTGATAATTGCGAGTTTGATTTAAAAACTGCCATAGCCTTATTGTCTGTAAT